CCAAAAATAAAGAATTTACAAATATTTTTCACGTTCTGACGCACGTATTTCGTTGCCCCCAAAAGCCAAACTGTTCAAACTGTATGACGTACATCTATAATTCTATACATGTGAGTTGTAAATTTAAGTGGACGGGGGGAACTGTGTTGATGGCTGTACTGGACTCCCGTGCATTGAGTGATCTTGATTCGGCAGACGATGAGGAGGGTGATTCCGACTGGCAAGAGGATTGATAAAAAAAAAATTTACCTTACTTTTTATACTATCTACTCAGTTTTTGTTTTATATTTACTATCATAAGTTATTCAAATAAAAATTCAAAGAAATTAATCACGAAATCGTTATTATTCAACAATTTCCTTAGTTGCGCAAGATTTATTTGAAATAATAAAAATAATTATGAGTTGAAATTATCATGTTTTTTGAGATATTTTTTATTTATTTCGTATATTCTCTTTCTTGGAAAATTTTTGATATGATGAAATGAACATTAGTGATTCAACATATATTCAAAATGTTTCTTATCTATCGAGATAGTGAAAGTTCAATAATTTCAATTTTTTTTCGAAAAATTTTCATAATTTTTTTTCATGGCAATCAGGTTTTTTTCGGTGAAAATTACAATTTTCGACGTTTCTCAAATTGTAAGAATAAAAAAAACATGGTTTTAGGGAAATATTAATTAATACGTCTCCAACGATTTGTCGGCAATGGAAAGGAAATTCTCTATTTTCGGTATATCTCAGAAACTGGTCAAAATGAGAAAAAATGTCACATGATCTTTTTTGTAGAGAATTAAATTTCCTACAAAACACCTCTCGAGTTGTATTCTCGTATCTTGAATAGTTCCAAAGATATGTGCGTCTAAACGTGAAAAATATCTGTAATTTTTTTTTATTTTCAGTATATCTCAGGAACAAGTCAAAATGAGAAAAAATGTCAGATGACCTTTTTTGTAGAGAATTAAATTTCCTACAAAACGTCTCTCAAGTTGTATTCTCGTATCTTGAATAGTTCCAAAGATATGTGCGTCTAAACGTGAAAAATATCTGTAAATTTTTTTTATTTTCAGTATATCTCAGAAACAAGTCAAAATGCGAAAAAAATGTCAAATGATCTTTTTTGTAGAGAATTGAATTTCCCACAAAAAGTCTCTGAAGTTGTATTCTCGCATTTATCATAGTTCCAAAGATATTTGCGGCTGAAAGTAAAAACTTCAAATCGTTCTGCCAGGGTGTTGATGCCGCCATTTTGTTCTGCAAATTGGCATTCACACTTGGAATAGTTGTCACAACAACATACTAAAAGGTGGAGCTTAACTAAATAATAAAAAGTTCATCACTCACGCGACATGTTGGGTGTGATCTGCCACCCCCTTATGACTGGCCAATCGTTCTGCAAATATTATATCGATGATTGCGGGCTATCAGAGGAATACTGGAGAAAATTTCAGCCTTAACTAAATGATAAAAAGATGCCGTTTTTGTTACACGTTGGGGGCGTTCTGCCACCCTCTTATGACTGGAATCAGGGTTAATCCTCGCGGATGACACTTAGTTAGGCCCTCCTCAACATCCTCTCAAAAAATAGGCCTTAACTAAATCATCACTGAAAAATGTCACTGGCTCTCCTACTATTACCATCCATCGATGGTAACGGTTCGAACTATCACGGTTCTAGAACTTGCGCGTTAGGGTTTTGTTTTTGTGGAACTGTTCTAGGGACTCTTTACGCGTTCGGGTTTTTCCAGTATCGTCCTGGGACGGTCCTAGAACTATCCGAAACCAGTACCTGCTCTCGAGCGTGAACCGTTCTAGGATTATTTTTGGCGCATTTCATTTAGTTTTCGATTCTGTTTGTTCTTGCGTAACGTCATAATGATATATTTTTGTTTTTTTCTACTGTTTATTGCTCTTTTCAATATTTTCTCAATATTATGGAGTTGGTACATTCATTTGATAGTAGTAGATCTTCATCTTCAGGAAGCAATGGTGAAGAAGTAACTTGCTGAAGTTGCTGAAGATATTTTACCTAATATGATAATTCTCGAACTTTTGTTAGATAAACCGAAAAATGGAGGATTATGTTGGGGAGAATTTGCCATTATATTCAAATACACAATTCATTGAACATTTCAGGTCGGTGTCGAAATTCATGTAGGTACAAGGGAAAAAACATTGAAAATCTAGCTACGAATGCTATGAGGGAATATATTCACCATTCCTCCACAGAAGGGTTGCCAGAGATATTGTGAATAGACTAAAAGGAGAGTTTGAAGCTTCAGAATATTATTCGAATAAAGATACAGTATCCAAACTATTGTTTTTTTCGCAAATTCTGAATAGAGGTTATGTTGTCATGGGTTCTCTTCTGCTGCTACTCAGAAAGTAATTAGAATACTGAAAATGTAATGAAAATACGACTGATACGAGTGAAAATATTTAATAAATATTCGAGATACTGAAGATCCAGCTGAAGATACTGAAATAGAAATTTAGAAATAATTAAAATATTCTCGAAAATAATGAGAGGATTTAGAAAAGTAATCGAGTACTTAAAAACTCGGGGTGTACCTACACCATATTGAAAGAGTTGTTTGTCCCTCGGCAAAAACAATTTGAGAATTGTAACTTTAGAGCCGTCTAGCGTACAACCAAACTAAACAAATTTGCACTGAGGTGAGATTGCTTGTATCGAATTGTTTTAGTCTGAGGAATATGTGGTAGGTTTTTGTAAAGACCTTTTTTGGGGCACCCTGTATATGGGGGTATAGGGCTATAGGCACGAGCCCACTAAGCAAATTTTGGAAGCTATGTTGATGCAAGGTTGTAGCAATTATACAAAAACGGACGTTCAGCAATATTGCAATATAAATTTGTAAATGTAACGTTCCAGTAATCTCAATTGCTGTAACGCTACATTATCAAACTTGAACCTCGCTTTCAACTTTGCTTAGTGGGAGCTAGAGTGGGAGGGTATATAGATACTTCGAAAATTACTTAATAGGTAGGTATTGTAAGTATTGTAAGTAATTGTAATTGTTCATAATAGGTATTGCTCGTTATTTGGCACTTCTAACTTAAATTCATGTGGAAAACGTATCTGCAGTTTTGATGTGTTTTAGCGACGAGGGTATCTTTTACTTATCCTATACTACTCTAATGTAAATAGAGTACTTTAGTTTCTAGTTGACAAGTCAAAAACTCACCAGTAGAATTGAACAGGTGCTACACTTGAAAAATGTCTTTCAATGAAATGGAAGCAACTGATGTAAACAAACACATTTTATAAACAAAAATACCAAACTTCACCTTTCCAAAACCAATAAAACACACTTGTATGCCAGTAACCGAAAAGGCACCACAATAAATAGGGTGATAACCACAAAATCCACTTGATTTCAACAGTAAATAACGAGGTAAATAATAAACATTGACATATCGACAATAACAAACGCGCCTGCTCACTCTTCACTTCACTACTTTGGCATCGGCATTCGGCATTCCGCACTCGGCACTCTGCGGCAGCAGCAGGGTTGCCTACTTAGCGGTTTTGTCGCTAAATCTAGTGTTTAGGATAGCCAGCTCAAAGGTGTAGGTCAATCTTTTCAACTTGATTTGCGACGTGTTGGAATTCTAGCGATTCATAGCGGTTTTCATAGAGCTATTTTGATCACTCGAATTATTCGTGATGACGAATATGAATTCACATTGAAACAAGAATGACAAATGACATGGTTTGTTTTCCTCATTTGTGCCACTTCTGCCACTTTTGAATATTTTTTGTAATTGTGAAGCTTGTGAAGATTTCGCATAAATCAGTATCGAAACTAATTATTGGAACCACTTATATAGCACTGAAGACGCCGATATGTATTATGTTGATCAGCTAGAAATATATGTGAGTTGACATGGTTTATTGTGGGGTTTAAAGTGTGATTTGATCAAAGAAATGCCTAAAATACGACCAACAGATATATTTTGTGATTTTCCTATTGAAATTTCATGGGAAAATTTATAATGATTTTGTTTTTTGTGTTTTTATTTTTTCATTCTGAATAAAGCGTTCTACGATTTTTCATCTGAAAACTCACTGAAAGGAAATATGATCAAAAATGTTGCTAAATTACGGAACAAATTCGCTAAATTTTCAAGAATTTCGCCTGCGGCAGGTGTTCTGCTCGCTTCGCTTGATCCGGCGCTTCTAGTGGTTTTTTTCGTATCTTCTTGCGACATTTCATGTTCAGCATCTGGCAACACTGTTGGTAGAATTGATAATTCATTATTCATTTGTAGAGGATGCAATCCATGTCTCGCCATCTCTTTTTTAGACTTTAGAGAATTATTATTATTCACAGAAACCTGTGTTGTAAGCACGTTGTAAGTTGTAATGACGAGATGTTCGAACTGAATACCACCCGAAATCATCTCTCAACCAATCTCAACAAATAATCCGTCAGGTAAGGAATGCTCTTTTATTTTCGATATGATTGATCGAAAAAAAAAAATACTGTGAAGACATGTTGAAGTGCTTCGCTATTTGAATGATGCTTTTTTCAGGAGCCGTTAGCGAAGTTCGGCTCGGCCAGCGTACGCTCGGCCGGAAATTTTCTGTAAACTTGTTTTCCAAAGGATTATTTGTTGCGTCCTGCCTCTAGATGCTGTTCCAATAGTGTTTCAATGCAGGTAGTAATGAATTCGTGCTGACAAGATATCCGGATAGCCTCGACATCTAATACTATGATGCAACTGAAGTAGATTAAGATAAAAAAGTGGGAAGAATCAATACCAACAAAACTGATTCTGACAACGAAAAAGAAGAGGAATAGGGGTTATAGTTTAATGTTAAATACTTTTTTCAAAATAATAAATAATTAAATAATAATGTCTCTTACATCGGCAAACAAAACATTCATGGTGTTAGGTCAATGTGTCCCTTGTTTGAAACAAGGAGCTTCCAAATTCAATGTCAAGAGGTTGGAATTAGACACAAATTTGAATATGGTAAAACTATTCCACTTCATGAAATTACAAAAGGAATAATTCAATTATTTTTGTTTCAGTATTTTCCCAAACACGAATTCGTTTATGCTCATGATCCAGAAAAAAAGTGCAAGACTGGTGATATGGTCCTTATTGAACAACTACCCCAAAAGTTGACAAGACTGATAACACACAAAGTCAAACATGTCTTATACCCACTTGGAGATGTTACAGATCCAATAACTGGTAAAAAAGTAATTGCTGGTAAATTTAGAGATCATATTGATGCTATAAACAAAGTTTATGGAGAAAGGGAAGGAGCTTTCAAATATGAGAGTGCTCCTGCTAGGGGATGGCAGGAAGACCAGAAAGATTTCAGTCACCAGGAAACATATATTAAATATCATGAATCAGGTGAACATGATCCACTTGCTGTTTAAGTCAGTGTACTATTTTTAAATAATTGTATATGAAAATACATCAACCAATACACTTTAGTATTTTCTAGTAGAAATGTGGTCTTTCAATCTGATGGAACTACCCCATTGAGTTATATGAATTTTGGAGAACAGTGTTGTGTGTTTTTATTGAAATAGAAAGAGTAGATGGTTTATGAAATCATATTAGGTATTTTTGGCTGGAAAACTAACTTCATAGTATTATTCCTATGCTTTTCAATCTCCATATGCAGAAATTCAACTAATTCCAAATTACAAGGATTGGCTTTATTATTTTTTATTTTCCCTGGAAAAAATGATGAATTCAAACTAATTGCAAACGATCTCACAAGAAAGGACCCTCCATAGGTTCAAAAACATTAAGAAGAATATAGTCATATATGATTTCATGAAAGATGGACCCCTTTTTATTTCAATAAAAACGCACATAGCCAAAGTGATGTTTGCCTCATTTGTTAACAAAGGATTGAAATAGTTTTTCACAATTATTATGGCATAGGAATCCTGGTTTTCGGCTATTCATTCATTCGCACATGCCATCACATTGTGCTGTTGTACAATACACATAAAATGCTGCGAGAGACGAAGAAATCCGGTTGGTACATTATGATTTAAAAGTACCTACCATAGTCACTCCACCTATAGTTTTTATTTTGAAATTTGGTAATTTCTCTGATTTTTCATCTGAATTCTTTCTGAAATAGGAGCTTATAGAAATACTCGCTGGTTATTTTCATTCCCATATAAAATAAATTCTCTTGATCTGGGGGAACTTTCTCCAATAATAAGTGATGTAATATTCTCAGCTAGAATACTCAGTATTACTATTTATGTTATTGTCATTGTCAAGTTGATAAAAGTCGATTAAATCGTAAGGAAAACCTTTTGAGAATGATAAGGCTTTAATCGACTTTTATCAACTTGACAATGACAATAACATAAATAGTAATACAGAGTATTCTAGCTGAGAATGTTACATCAATAAGGCACTTTTCTCAGAACAACAGTTATAAAATGAGAAGAATGCATGTAACATTTTGATATGAAAAAATAGGATCATATGGATATAACTTACAGCTAGTTCGGTCGGTATTGAAAACGCCATTCAAAGATATACAGTGAGTCCAAGATAAGGATATCTATCATAGGGTATAGTTGATGATGGGAAATGAAAGGTCGTATGGAAAACGTCTCGACGCGATTTTGTAGAGCTTCTAAAATGGGAATGAGAAAGTGTCTTCTGTTTTCCTATCTCTTGAATTAACGTCAGAAAATAATTAAAACGATTCCCATGAACTTAATAAATCTACATTCAAATACACTAACAGTTGTCATTTCTTATCTAACTAATACCATCCAGAGACTCTAGGGAAAACAAGTCTAACTTTCAATCTATGTCAGGGATAGCATAGTTTTCCAAGTCATCAATGTCATTTAATGACCTTGGCAACCGCGAAAAGGTAGCGCGCGAGTTAATATAGAAGTTGTAAAAAGTTACGCGCTCAAAATGTAAAACTTGAGCTTGACCAACTCCTACCTGCAATGTTTTATTAGATTAATGAAAATAAATGAAAAGCAATCTAGCTGCTCTTCAAGTTTCATCTTTTTTCGCCATATCTTTATTTCCAATATTTTTTTCGAAAATGTTTTCAACATTGGTAGATGTTGGTAGATAACCTAATTTGTTGATAATAAATAATGAAGCTTATTATTGATTTTAAACAATAATTATCAAGTTATTACTTACAATATGTATGTTCACCTAACCTAAGGAATTCAATTATTCAATAAATACTGGAGAAATATTCTTATTTATAAAACAAAATATATAATATATATTATTCAATCTGTGCACATTTTATACTTTCATTCAAAGAAAAAAAGAAATCACTTGAAAAATAAATTGTTCAATTTTGCCTACAATTTGCCTCACTTTCATTCCATACCGGGTACCTTCTGGTTCTATAGTTGGGAGTTCACTAGATGCAGTACAAGAAACCATCATGAATTTTTTCATGGCAAGAATGACGTTCATGACACTCACCTAGGAGAGACTTGATCACAAAATGCATTCCATATCCTCATTGGCAATAGATCACGGAATAAATCAAGATTAAGGATAATTTTTCCTCGGAGCTTCTGAAACGTTTTCCTAGTTTTTTTTTCTTGAGTGTAAGGTTCGTTTTTGACAAAACAATGTTAATTTTTTGAGAAATTTTATAGACGTTTCGTCTAAAGGTCTAGTCTTATCAAAACGAACTGGTGAAACATCTAAAACAAGACTTTGAAAACATGTGTTTGACCTTATTTCACTTGGTAAGACATTTTGTGGTACTTTTTGATAGCAGTTACTGTTGAATTTAGTGTCATTTGTTGAATGCATTGTCTTTTGTCAGTGGCAATTATAATTAGTTTGAAAAACGAAGAGTTCATGGAGTTGTTCATGCTCTCATTTTAGGTGATTAACATTTCGAAAATTTCTTGCCTAAACATAAATACACTGATTTCAACAGTATGCCGCCAATTTTATTCACATTTGACATTTCAATTTCGAGAGGTAAATTTTTAAGATTTTTTTTGGGCAATCACCTTTTCTTCAAGATTTTCAATATAAACTTGCAGACAACTACTTGATGAACATTTTTTGTTACTAGTACAGAATGTTCAGATATACAAAATCTGACCTTTTTGAAATCAAATTGATACTTTTTGAAATCTACTTGACCGAACCAGAATTGGAAAAGCTTTGTACAGGTTCTCGCCGATTTAATGGTAACAGTATTGCTATTATCTAAATGGTAGGAGATAAAAAGTTTATTAGATTTGATAAAATTTATGTAAATTAGAACTTTTCAATAATATATGCCATTTTCCAACCTGATTAAAAAGCCTTTTCTGAAATATTTTGCAAAAACTGATTTTGTTTTCATCTATTTTCTTAGTTGATATTCAAAGAACTTTGAATAAGGGTGAAAATAAAAAAATGTGAAAAAATCACAATGCACAATCTGAAAATATTGATGTGCATAAATACATTGACAAAACTTCCCAATCAATAACCCTACCTACGTTTGTCAAGTATCGTTTGTGATCAAGAACATAATAATAACATTCATTGATCCCAAGGAATATACATGGTTGTATTGGCAATTTTACTGACTTCTGTAAGTTCAAAACCAATAAAACTATCTATCTATTCAGTTATAATGGTTATGGAGGGCACAAGAATAATAAATAAATAAACAAATTGGATATCCAATAAAATGGAAGAAAGTTAAATTGATATATGTTCAGTTCATTCTTGAATTTTGTGACGAGATTGATAGATTTAATTAATTGGGTAGGTGTTATAAATATTTATACCACAAAAATATAATAATTTGGGTAAATTGGGTTTTTATTTTGACAGGAATATTTCAGAGAAGGCTGAAATTTTTGCAGTCTGCGAAATGGCATATGCATCGATGTTGCAATGAAGCTTAATTTCACGAATTCACTAATAAGTTGATACTTGGTATTTCCGTTCAATCATTCATGCACCCAAATTAATATTTATCTTTCATTAACTATTCACTAAAAGATGGCCAACTTTAATCACAACAAATTAATCATTCCAGAATTACGTCATTTGACAGGTTGCTGAGGGGCAAACATTGTATTTTGTCAAAATCTGTCATAGAAAACCAGAATTAGTGGGATAGTTTTTCTTGGAATCCAAGTCGGAACCAGACAGTATTTTATAATTTTGTTTGGTGGAACTGTTATTATTTTGTGGATGTGGCAATGCTCATCAAAGGTAACCTAACAGATAGTTTGTGTGCCCCTCAAGAAACCATGTCAAAATCACGTGTTCTAGAATGATCAATACAAGTAAAAGTGTGACTTGTTCCGGCGCGATTCTGTCAGAAGTCAGACATACAATTTATTCTTCTTATTTCTTCAAAATGTGGTTGAGAATTCAAAAAATTCTAATTGTCTGTTCAAATCAGACTTTGAAAACAATATGAACATCTTGGTCTAATTATAATAATGTGAGCAGTGGAGGTTAGAACACCAATATTTTCATCGGGCTAAGTATGCTGAGGACTATGCTTGGAGAGTTTGAAGTTAAAAAAAGGTAGTGCATAAAGGCATCAGTCCTTAAAAAAAAATAATGACGGGTAATGAAAGCAACAGATTAATGAAAAAGCGATGTGCATAAATCCACCTCAAATTGCCAGATCGCATCTGTCAATTAAGCACTACTTGCCACATTGATCTGACACTTAAGCAGTAATTGTCAGTGATGTTGCAATTAAGCATAACTGCCATCAAATAAGCACTAATTACCGGATTGATGCTGCAATTGTCTTGATTGCCAGATTGATGTCACAATCAGGTCCAAATTGCTAGATCGATCTCACAATTAGCTTAATTGACAGATTAATCTTGTGAATATAAAAACAATTTCCTTATGAACGTTCAGCACCTAGGTAAATTTGATCAACTTACCATTTATTAGGAAATAGGGATACTACTACTAAATCGGCGGGACCCAGTATAGTGCTAGTGACACTCAAGGTGGATTTATGCAGCATCATTGAACAATTATCAAGTAACATTCATCATTTAACAAGTAGCAATTAAAAGTGGAACTTCCTGTTTTCAATGAAGGTGTTTATGCAGACATTTAACAATTATCAATTAACACGTTGACTGCCATATCGGTCTATTAGACCGAGAAAAAAATATCCTGACGTGCCGCCTCGGTCTCATAGACCAAGATTGGAGTTGATACACCATGCCGGCTCGGCCTATAGGACCGAGTCAATTGAACCGCCCGTGAAGCCGTCGGTCTGAATTATTGTTAATAATATCGCGGAGAGCGACCAAGAAGGCTTCAGTGACAAGTTTATATTGTATATCGTAAGTATTGCGTACAGCACTAGACCGAGGCCGAACCCGGACGGACCGAGCTGGCGGACCGACGCGGCGTACACGGGTATACATGTATAAACGAGCGCCGACTCGGTCTATAAGACCGAGCCAAATTTCTTCAATTTTTTGGATCCAGTGTCCCAATTTTCAAGAATTTCAACGATATACTATCTTCTGTAGGCTTCAGCTACATAGTCACTCATGGTTTCTGGGACAAAATTTTTGATTTTGCTTCGGCTCTGATACCAACAGTGTGTATATGAGCCCGGCAGTCAACGTGTTAAGAAGTAACGGGTAAGAAGTGGGCCAACTTTCAACTTTCTTACTTCAATTGAACCAGGTTTTCCTCTAGTGCGCAACCAGTACGCAGGTGAACGCGGATTGGTTTCATCGACTGGTAGTGAAGGCATGGATTGGTCAGACCAATGTCAGACCTGATATCTGACAAATGTTATGAAATTTGTTTCAACATAAAACAATCGCACTCAACAAAATAATTGTGAATAAAAGTAACCCAGTCTCTTCCAGGTAAGAAAACATTATGAAATTCGAAATTTCAGCTCCTTATGTAAATTGTAAACAACGAATTTGTAAGGTTATTGCTTCGATAGTCCAGATTTAGGGCAAGAGCGCTTGCGTCATATTAATCCATTAACACGTTGACTGCCGGGCTCATATACACACTGTTGGTATCAGAGCCGAAGCAAAATCAAAAATTTTGTCCCAGAAACCATGAGTGACTCTATGTAGCTGAAGCCTACAGAAGATAGTATATCGTTGAAATTCTTGAAAATTGGGACAGTGGATCCAAAAAATTGAAGAAATTTGGCTCGGTCTCATAGACCGAGTCGGCGCTCGTTTATACATGTATACCCGTGTACGCCGCGTCGGTCCGCCAGCTCGGTCCGTCCGGGTTCGGCCTCGGTCTAGTGCTGTGTCTGATGAGGACGATATACAATATAAACTTGTCACTGAAGCCGTCTTGGTCGCTCTCCGCGATATTATTAACAATAATTCAGACCGACGGCTTCACGGGCGGTTCAATTGACTCGGTCCTATAGGCCGAGCCGGCCTGGTGTATCAACTCCAATCTTGGTCTATGAGACCGAGGCGGCACGTCAGGATATTTCTTTCTCGGTCTAATAGACCGACATGGCAGTCAACGTGTTAATTGTTGATTTGGTTTGCATAAATGTCAATATCCTCATCACTTGTTAATTGATAATTGTTAATTGATGAATGTTACTTGATGATTGTTAAATGTTGCTGCATAAATCCACCTCAAGAACAACATTATGATTCGTTCATGTTAACATATTCATTATTATTCAGCATGTCCTATTCATTTGAAGAAAATGTAGCATGTTCAATTCAGAGTAAAAGTGACCATTTGCCATGCGCCAGTATTAACACGTTGACTGCCATGTCGGTCTATTAGACCGAGAAAAAAATATCCTGACGTGCCGCCTCGGTCTCATAGACCAAGATTGGAGTTGATACACCAGGCCGGCTCGGCCTATAGGACCGAGTCAATTGAACCGCCCGTGAAGCCGTCGGTCTGAATTATTGTTAATAATATCGCGGAGAGCGACCAAGACGGCTTCAGTGACAAGTTTATATTGTATATCGTAAGTATTGCGTACAGCACTAGACCGAGGCCGAACCCGGACGGACCGACGCGGCGTACACGGGTATACATGTATAAACGAGCGCCGACTCGGTCTATAAGACCGAGCCAAATTTCTTCAATTTTTTTGATCCAGTGTCCCAATTTTCAAGAATTTCAACGATATACTATCTTCTGTAGGCTTCAGCTACATAGAGTCACTCATGGTTTCTGGGACAAAATTTTTGATTTTGCTTCGGCTCTGATACCAACAGTGTGTATATGAGCCCGGCAGTCAACGTGTTAAGCGCCACGTGACCAATAAAAGGTTTTGGCGAATGCATTTCGGTGATTCATCCTCTCGCTCACACATGACGTCACGTCCTTCCCGGTCCATTCAATTATTCGACAGAAACTCCCTTTCCAAAGCGGCCCCCATCATGTTCCACTCGCCATCGTCCACTTCGTCAGGGGCGTCCACGCTGCCCTGCGTGTTAAAATAAACTGGTCAACATTGATAACGTCGTGGTCCGAAATATGGCCTGAATACAAATTAGAATTCGCGAAAATCACGAACCAATAGATGGCTCTATTTAACGTCAAATCAACGTCAAATTTCAAACTGAGTATGAACAACAAAAACATTGCCGTATGCACTCATTGCAAATTGGTTATTTCGAAATCATTTTGCAAAATAGTGAATAATGAGTTGACTTCGTGGAATAATCAAATCAAATCAAATCAACTTTATTACTAGATTAAAGTGTAAATGGTGTACAACAAAGACATATTCACATTTTGTCCAGCTTGTCACAAAAAAAGGAAAGTGTAAAAATATTACACATACCTAGGAAAATTGTGTTTACACAAAGACTAACACTCTTAATAATTAGCAATTAATGAATACAACACAAGAAAAGTTATTTACTTATCACAAGTGAAAATTACACAGCCAAAATTTTTTTTTTTTTTACTGAATTATGTTACATCAACGTTTAGAAAAAATCTTCAATACTGTAGAATGCCTTACCTATTAAGAATTTTTTCAATCTATTCTTGAACTGATTCATTGTACTACAAAGTTTTATCGATTCATCCAATTTGTTGTATAATTTGATGCCTATATAATTTGGATCATTTTGGCCGATTTGGAGTCTTTTAAATGGCAAGTGTAACTTACCTCTTTCTCTTGTACCATAATCATGTACACAATTGTTCGTTTTGAAAGAGGTTGAGTTCTTTCTGATGAACACCAAAACCTCGTAAATATATAAACATGGCATTGTCAGAATGCCCAAACTGATGAAGTGTTTTTTACAGTGTGAGTTGTATGGTAACCCCAGCATCAATCTGATGGCTTTTTTTTGTAAAATAAAAATCTCCTTAGAACTTGCGCTATGGCCCCAGTAAATTATTCCATAACGAATAACTGATTCAATTACACTGTTATATAGTAGTAATAAAATGTTGTAAGAAACTGTGTCTTTTAATTGCCTCAAAAGAAACAATTGCCTATGCAACTTAGATCCTAGATTTCCAATGTCACGTCAACTTATCAATTGTTATATCAAGAAAAACTGTTGTTTCAATTTGCTTAAGCGATTTTCCTAACTTCCGTAAAATACTACTCCCATTTTTGTAGTTTTTTCTACGTAATTGATGAAATGTGTTTTTTAATTGTTTAGAATTAAGCCATTCTTTGAACTCCAATCGGCTATTTGCGTGAAAGTCTGTCCCAGTTGTCTCAGCATGTTAGTCTCTTTTGTTCTTACTATAATATTTGTATCATCTGCATATATAACAGTGCTTGTCGATAAATCTGAACAGAAAGTAGGAAGATCGTTAATGAATATTAGGAATAGCAAAGGCCCCAGAATGGCCCCAGAATGGATCCCTGTGGATGGAATACGTACAAGGTTTCCAGTATGGAAAAAATTACTTTTTGTGCAGAGAAATTGCTATTTGGATGTGGATAATGGTGGTATTCATCATTGATATCACACTACAATTCCACAGTTTTCAAACATATGGAATGGTCGGAATGGTCCACTCAACACTTGCATGGACTGGAACCAATCAGCTATTACAAATAGGTATGAAGAAATAAGTGAATTCATCAAGAAATATCACTGGCTTTTATGAAGGAGATGGAATTCTAATGAAGGGTCTGGGAAAAGAAGATATGATTGGAAAGGCTGCTCAAAATGAACAATATCATCGATTTACATAAACAAGGATCTCCAGCAATTGAAGACTTAGAGTTATTCTCAAGATCAAATCATTGCAACCAACATTTATACAAGGATTCTAACTGTGCTTCAGAAAATGTATATTATATTATTATAAGGTAGGTACTGGCTTCTTCATTGTAAACAATAAAAGTTCATGCAATAATTCCAGTTTTTTCATCAGGGAAAAATGAGGTTCTGGAATATGCACTTCAACAAATAAATTATTTTCAAATAAAACACAGAAACTCAAAACAATGGTCGCCATATTTGTTGTTCATACTCGCAAGGCTTGTAAAGTTAGCCACCAGAGGCCGCACACTTCGTGATTTTCGCGAATAACTCACGAATTTCCTTACAAATTTGAAATTGGTTTTCACCGATGATTAGCCTAATCTCTTGACAGTTTGTTGTAGCGATATGAAACTTCTGTAATTTCAGACAACATTGCTACAGGGTGATAATTGAATGGGTGTAAAATTGCATCGTGGTCGTCACCTTACCGTTTGAACAGATAATTTTTTCAATTTTTTTTCTCACCTGTATCCTCTTGAGTGATGCTTTCATTCGAAACGTTTTCGGAATTTTCAAATTCAGAGCTTTAATAATCGTGTTATGAATATTCATTCATAATGATGCATTTTTTCGACGATTAGTTGAATGAAATTGGAAGATGGAATTCTTTTTCGAAGAATCAGCGTTGTAGGTATAATCGTCGGATATGTGATCGTGGTCGAGCACAGATAATTCCGAAGAAGTCTATACAAAGTGATACAAGAAATACTGAATGATGGAATGGAGAATAACGTATTCTTCAATAGATGAAACACAATTTTCTCCGTGTTACTAGTGAAATAAAGCAGTGTTACTTCGTCATGAGGATTTCTGGTGTCTGACCTCGAAACGGTTTTGTAATTTCTCGGATCAAAGGTCATTTAATGAAGGTACGCATTTTAATCAAAATGATGCATTTTCGTTGAGATTAATTATGAAATTCAAAAAATTACGATTGTAGTTCCAGAAGTATAAAATTCATATTTATTCTTGACAATGAATATACAAGGTACGAGAAAAAAATATGTACAGATTGTCCCCGGGATGAAGAAGAATATGTTTAATCGTGATGAAAATTGCTATGTTCCTAAAAAGAAATATAGTATCGGTCATTGGCGAAAATTGTGAAATGTATAAATACAGTAACTTTTCAAGGGATTCATACGAGGAAATATGAAGGAGACTGCAGAATTGTCATAGATTCGATAAAATGTTTTCCATACTAATGAAGATGAATACAGTTAGCCCTCATGAGGCTTATATGAGGTAATATAAGAGATACTTCAGAATTGCCATATATATTGATGCACCTACAATATGGTCTTCAGAGGGACAATTTCCCCATAGTCATAGTCAGAATAACTCTTGAATGTTCATTTCTGCATCATCTTTTTCACTGGGTGATTCATAAGAAATTTATAATATCTCACCTGCTGCTATAGATTTGACGAATTCTGAAAAAAAAAAATTGTTTGCGTAACTTATACTTACCATTATTGCTATTTTGATTTCCTCACGTCAAAAAAATCCTAATTGCATATTGGATTGGCTTTCATTCCAATATGTGAAGTATCTTTCATATTACCTAGTATAAGCTTCATGAGGACTTACTGTATATATCTTCATAGTATGAAAAACATGTTATCGAATCTATGGTAATTCTCTTTCATATTTCCTCGTATAAGCCTCATGAAAACTTACTGTATTTATACAGTTCACAATTTTCGACAATGACCGACACTTTATTTCTTTTTCGATTTTCATCACGTTTAAACATATTCTTCTTCATCCTGGACAATCTGGACATATTTTTTATCGCACCTTGTATATCCATCGTCAAGAATAAATATAAATTTCATACTTCTGGAACTACAACCGTAATTTTTTCAATTTTATGATTTATACCAACGAAAGTGCATCATTTTGATTGAAAATGCGTACCTTCATTATATGACCTTCGATCCGAGAAATTACAAAACCATTTCGAGGTCAGACACCAGACATCCTCATGACGAAGTAACACTCCTTTATTTCACTAGTAACACGGAGAAAATTGTGTTTCATCTACTGAAGAGTACGTTATTCTCCATTCCATCAATCAGTATTTCTTGTATCACTTTGTATAGACTTCTTCAGAATTTTCTGTGTTTGAAAACAATCACATATCCGACGACTATACATACAACGTTGATTCTTCGAAAAAGAATTCCAACTTCCAATTTCATTCAATTAATCGTCGAAAAAATGCATCATTTTCAATGAATATTCATAACATGATTGTCAAAGCTCTGAATTTGGAAATTCCGAAAACGTTTCGAGAGAAAGCATCAATAAAGAGGATACAGGTGAGAAAAAAAATTGAAAAATTATCTGTTCAAACGGTAAGGTGACGACCACGATGCAATTTTACACCCAATCAATTATCACCATGTAGCAATGTTGTCTGAAATTACAGGAGTTTCATATCGCCACAACAAACTGTCAAGAGATTAGGCTAATCATCGGTGAATACCAATTTCAAATTGGTAAAGATATTTGTGAGTTATACTACTTTGAATTCAGGCTATATTTCGGACCACGACGATATCAATGTTGACCAGTTTAGTTATGAAAATAAATTTCACTTGAATTTATCATGAAATAATGTTATTGAATAACTGATATTTCTGAGGTTCACAATCATATTTCAACATATGGCAACTGTACAGGGTTAACAACTGATAACGGCTATCATCAATCATTATTCTTTCAACTTTGATCGTTGATATCTTCCGTTAGCGAAAAGCTATCATGTTGCGGTTTTCGTTGGTCTATTGTGATTGAGTTTATCTATTTCATCGTGTGCATACATATGCATACTATTACGGCAGCGGTGATATGAATATTCAAATCACAGTTGATAGAACAGGAAAAGTCCTTTACAACGAGCCCAAGATTGTTGAATTCAGTTGAAGATAACCCGAGTTACAGAAGTTCAGAAAAAACATAATTTGACTTTTCCCCACCACTTTATTTTTTGAGATGGGGCAAAAAGTGTGAAACAGAATAACCTAGGAATTTATCAAGGATAAAACTGCATATATTTTCAGTACACCTTGTTACAACTGAATACGGAGACATTTTCAATTTTCTCATTACTCATAGCCGTTACGCCACCTAGCGGTTATTTTAGGAACCTAAAAATATTTTCCACCTATTTTCTAGGGTCACTTTTCACAAGATATTTTAATTTTCAAAGTTGTATTATTTGTCGCCTGGATATGGCCGACGGCCGTTCTTAGTTGTTCACCCTGTACTATGGTCTGCCCCTACTCACGAAATCGTGACGTCAAATTTTACTCGCGGTAAATTTTTAGCCGTTTGAAAATTACCGTGGCACTATTGATGATTTTGGCACCTTAAAATCGATCGAAAAATTCTGAAAAAATATGAAATTGAAAGGTATTTGAGTGATGATTCTATTTAACCCATTAGATACTAGCGTTTCAAATAAGGAACACATAACCGTACGAACTCTGAGCGCGTCCAAATATATTTCCAATAGCAGAATTTTCTCCATGCAAATAATTTTTATCTCGTATAACACCTACATCTACCACTGAGTCATACTCAGCTACTTGATAATACCTCCAGCTCGATTCAGATTATTAGATGACTATCGGTTTTACTGTACACGTGTGAAATCTCGCGCCGTGAAGTGTAAGTACATATATTTCTCGAATATTTCAACTGTGACTGTGAATAACTTATGTTTTGAACAGTTTATAACATACTCATTGTGTTGTCTGTGACAAACATTGAAAATTATAGTTTATATCTGATTAGATTTTGTGTTTTTCATCGTGTTCCTTATATGGAACACTAGGCTTGTAGGATGTTGAATGTGTTCATAGTTTGTCAGTCCAAGACATTCATTCAACTTATTGATGACCTACCAGAAGACAGAACATGTGTGTCATATAAGTTGCATCTCGACAATTCATCCACTTCTGTGAAATTTCTTCAATTTCTGATACAATGGCGCTATGATGGTTCTGGCACAGAGCAAGAAAATAGGATTTCTCGTTATTGTCCAATAACTGAGGATGATAAATGAAGCGAAAAAACTTGGTGGATTTGATTACGCCTTATGTTCTACGATGATGCATCAATTGTGGTTGCCAGATGAATGGACAATTCAGTTATAACTGTTGCATCGACCATACACTAAGTTTATTCTTCTCTAACGCGCAAAAAAATGGAATGGACTCGCTGCATATAAAAGTACAATGAGTACATAGGAAGAACAGACTTATAAATTTTGCTAGCCAATTTTCACCTGGATAAATTTCAGCAGGAAATTTATCAGTTGAGTTTCAGGAGAGGAAGCCCACCTGAAGAAGTACCACAATTTAACGAAGTCATCGGCAAGACCACCAACATATTCAACAAATTCTGAAGTAACTATAGTTATTCGCTTGATTAACTGATGTTCATAATATACTTTCAAGCAGGAATAGAGAAAATACATTGAAATTTTCGCAAAGGTATTAATTCAGTCCCTAATGGGTTGAGAAATAAAAAAAATAGTCCACACGCCTATTGTCACTGTCATCACTGATGGTGTGCAGGAACCTTGCAGGCAAAACATGGGGATGTAACCCATCAATACTGCGATGGATGTACACCATGCTAGTGAGACCAATGATCACCTACGGAGCAGTAGTGTGGCACGGCAGAACCGAACTCGCCACTACAAGGAAAATATTAGAGAAGGTGCAAAGACTGGCATGTCTTTGCATAACAGGAGCAATGAGATCAGCTCCAACAGCAGCACTAGGGGTCATTTTGGATCTCACACCTCTACACATCGTGGTGAGGAGAACTGCCCATGGAGCACATCTCAGGTTAGCCAAGGTCGGACTAAGAGGGAAAACGCACAGTGTAAGGGGCTCACCCCCCACTGAGATCGCACACCTCGCCGATCTTCCAACAGACCAAATCATTAGGAAGTTCAGTTTTGAGAAGAACTTCCGAGTGGAGCTGAGCAACAAGCGCGAATGGAGCACAGAATCCATCGAATCACTGGGAAGGAATACCATTACTTGGTATACGGACGGGTCTAAAACACCCGAGGGAACTGGAGCAGGAGTCTTTGGGCCTCGCACCAAATACTTCGAATCCATGGGACAATTCCCCAGCATTTTTCAAGCGGAAATACACGCCATAGGAAGATGCATCCAGTTCAACCTAGACAGGAAATACCGGAAGGACATCGCGATTTTATCCGATAGCCAAGCAGCCATCAAAGCGTTGAGCTCTCCTTACATCAACTCGAAGATGGTATGGGAATGCCTAAGCAAATTGAATGAGCTAGGCAGCAACAATAAAGTTACCCTCCTCTGGGTGCCAGGGCATATCGGAGTGGAGGGGAATGAACAAGCAGACGCTCTGGCACGACAAGGGGCTTCAACGCCACTGATCGGACCAGAGCCATTCTGCGGCCTTGGAAATTCCTATTTCCAAGGAGAACTTGAGAAGGCGGAAGGAGCCTGGAGAGCCAGACAAATTTCAACCGAGAAAGATCTAAGATACTGACAAACCTCAGCAAAGAAAGTCTCAAAGCAATAACGGGATTTCTAACGGGGCATTGCAGACTCAAAGAGCACCTAAGGAAGCTAGGCTTACAGGAGGACGGCACCTGTAGATTCTGTGAGGAAGAACCAGAAACACCCCATCACATACTGATGGAGTGTGACGCTGTACATCACAAAAGATTGAACATACTGGGAACACACCAGCTGACTGTGGAAGAAATACCACAGCTAGACCCCCTCAAAATCCTCAAATTCCTGAAGGAATTGAATCTCGAGGGGCTGCTATGAACAAGAAATCCTTGATATAGCAGGAGCAGATGGGGCACAATAGATCTAATTGGGTCGCAGCGCATCTGTCACCATCCAACCTACCAATACCAATACCAAATACCAATACGCCTATTGTAGCTCTAGTGGTAATAGGTGAAACTTGAAATCGTCCCAACCCTACCTGCGTGTCCTCCAGCTCGAAATCCAGCACGTCATCCACAGTTTCCCCTCTCCTGAAGCGCACGCTCGGCGACTCGTCTTCCTCGCTCACGTAGGAGTCCTCCAGGAGGTCAGCTTCTTCGTCCTGCCGTTTCCGCTTGAACCCCTTAGGAAACTCGCCCGTCATCGAGTCTTCGCTGTCGCTGCTGCTGCTGATGTTTTTTTCGACGAATTCCGGTATCTGTTCCATGTGCGCGTCGGGTTTGGCGGGTTCGTCGTCGCTGTCGTCGGCAAATAGGTCTTCGAACTATGATGAAACCTTTGATTATTTATACCAGCATTACTCAAAGTATGCTCCGCAATGCCTCCGATAGGACTCCGCTAGCAGTCATGATAAAACGAATTCATGACATCAGTGAATAAGAATAAAGCTCGGAATGAAGTTATTTAAAATAAAAATGAACGATCGAAATGAGAAGCTCAATTCCACAGATTGATTTTTGGTGCCGTGTTTGTGATGAATTTCCACAACTCCACACAGAGAGGCTTTGATTTTCTTCTGCCGTTCCCTAAAACTTACGTGTGTTGAATGGACCAGCATATTATACAACTACATAAACTGAATATATACCGCAATAGACTGGATGCCGAACTAGACAATCATGAGAATCAGTGACGGCTCGTGCCCTCAGAACCTGGGTCGGCCAGGGTATAGATATTGCTCTAAAATGCGAACGTAAGTGGGTCAGCGGCTTGAGTGAAGTTCGATGGCAAATAAGCATGTACAGGGTGATTCACCATAATTGTCCTTTCTCCCTCTAGCTCACTTATTTTTGACCCGATTTAAAAATTTGAAGGATGATCTAAAATGATTTCTCAGAATTTTTTTCCCGTTGCATCAGGAAATACAGGGTGCACGGAACAAATGATCTACAGGGTACTACTCGATTTTTCCAAATCGAACACCCTGTATTTCATTGTATTTTTAGATTCTTCCTGAAGAGCTGATTTCATCAATGCATCACACTTGGGGTCTAGCGGGAATGATAACAGAGATATAGGGTGTTCAAAATCGAGATTTTTCAAGTTTAGGATTTTTTGTCTCGAAACTATTCATTATTGGTCGAAACGGCTCCTATGTTTCCATCTTAATTTTTGATTAACTGTCTATTGAGATTTGATTGGAACATTTACAGGGTGGTTCAAGATTCAGAATTCCGATCACCCTGTATCTGTTCCAATTATTAAATGTCAGTAGATAGTAAATCAAAAGTTGAGATATGGACATGAAAGCCGTTTTGACCGATGATGAATAGTTTCGTCTCAAAAAAATCCTAAAGTTGAAAAATCTCGATTTTGAACACCCTATATCTCTGTAATCATTCCCGATCATGGACGTATAAACAAAGATGGACTGGGCTATTTACATTTTCATGTGAAGTCACACAAAGGAACAGTCTAACCACCGAATCGCTAATTTGATGTTGTCATATTATTCTTGCTGTGTGTCAAACTTGAGGACAATTTCCGTTTTTTACTACATTTGATACGTACATGGGACATATAATTCATTGCATTACTCATGAACAACCGAGTGAATAACCAAAAATCACTCAGTTAGTATAAACTATTTCTCAAGTTAAAAAAGTCGCGAGCTGTATATTCATTATCGACAGACAAATTCTGATAACCTAATGCTTTCAAGAAGCTTGGCATCGTTGACAACGTCAACCAATCACACAGCGCTATTTGGAAAAGGAAAATAAATGGCGCAATATTCGAAGTAGTGTTTACGTTTTTATGATCTTCGAATTCGTGATATTCGAGTGAATTTGTGACTTTGTTTGAACAATAGTTTATCGTCAAGTGTCCCGATGGTGCGTAATTGTGTTTTATGCAGGAAAAATGCATATTCACACTCAGAACTATCTTTTCATTCGTAAGTAATAACATTGACATTTCAGCATAGGCGTCGTGCAGGGTGTATTAACTCATAATGTTTGTTAATTCAATATTTGTTGAAAATAATCAGGAATTATCATAGGAAGGGTACATACATATTGCTTGTTGAATACATTAATTGATTTAGTTCTTGAAACCTACATTTTATTTCTCAAAAATGTAAAAGTCAGATGAAACATGTTTCGCAGATTCCCTGTGAAGGGTGAACAGCGGGGTTTGTGGTTGTCGCTGTTGAAAATGAAGGCAGAGCAGATAACCAAAAATGCTCTTGTTTGCTCCGACCACTTCAGAAGTGATGATTTCATATCACAGCCTAGTGGAAGGAGGATTCTGAGGAAAGGGGTTCTTCCAATACCCATTTTTGATGAGTTACCAGCACCATCAGAACAAATAGAACAATCCTGGTGAGTATCTATAAAATATTCCGATAATTTTGGGTAACTTATTATACAGGGTGTGATTAATTCTCCCGGTATGCTGTAAATGGTACCTATTCCATGAATATTGTAAATATAAGTATTTCTTGGATTTTTCATTACTCTGATTTTTCAGGTGTGCAGATGATATAATGGAAAATATAGATCCAACCTTTGATATTATTTTCGACGATAATTCTTCTAAACCTTCAAAAAGGTGGGTTTGACTTGAATTTTTCACAGTTCACAAATATAAGTTATGAATGTAGATTCTGATTTGTCTCCACATTCCGAAATTAACATTACATGAAATATTACAGGTATTTAAATGAAACTGGAGAGCAACATATTAATACTGATATAGACTCAAGCTTCAATGCTGCACACTATGATTCTCCTGGGCCTCCATAAAGGAGGTGAGTTTTGGCTTATCTTTTCTCAAACTATTATTCAACCTCGTATTTAATAACGAATAATGTGGCAAGTGATAGATAATATATTTATTTTACAAAAATACAATATTTCAGATGTTTCAGATGTTTCAATGATGATGAAGGACAACCGAGAGGACAACTGAGTAATGCGGATATAGAAAATGCTTCTTCAGGTACACTCACAGCGTCAGAAACTGAAATGGTGGAGTTGTTATTGACAGATAATACTTGTTCATATTCCCGACATAAAACTTATGAAAAGTGAGTCCTCATTTTGAATTATTTTGGTGATAGTCTCTACAAATGAGTGTTTCCAAAGTGTGCGAACTTCATTTCATGTTTCAGAATGAACAAAACTGTCGAGGACACGTCTAGCAGTGAATTTTCAACACCTGGAAAGGCTATACAAAAAGTAAAAATTTTGAAAAAAACTGTGAAGAGCCAAAAACACAAAATCAAGTGCCTTCAACAATCTGTCAGGAGATTGAGAGCAAAAATTACATCCCTCACTTCACTCCTGACATTATTGAAGAAAAAATCTTTGATAAATGAAAACTCTGAATGGCCATTGAAAGCAAGCCTCTTTCGGTAAGATTTTCAGTGGATAATAACATCATTTTTTTATTATTTCAGGCATCATTATCAGGAGCAACAAATGAAATTTTCGAAAAACTGTTGAAGGGACCCAAAAAACAAAAATACACCCCAGCCTTGCGAAGTTTTGCACTCACCTTATCATTTTATTCCATGAGGGCATATAATTATGTAAGGAAAACGTTCAACAATACACTACCACATCCAAGAACAATTTCAAAATGGTACCAGTCCATAGATGGTAGACCTGGGTGGACACAAGAAGCATTGCACACACTCAAAATAAAAGCAGATGAAGCCAAGAGAGAAAATAAAACAGTTCTCTGTAATCTTGTTTTGGATGAAATGTCTATTCGGAAGCAAGTTGAATGGACTGGAAATAAATTTTGCGGTTATGTGGACATTGGAACAAACCTGGAGAGTGATGAACTTCCTGAAGCGAAGGAGGTACTAGTTTTCATGTTGGTTGCTTTGAACAGTTCATGGAAGATACCAGTTGGGTATTTTTTATTGGATGGGATCAGTGGATCTGAGAAAGCAGCGCTGGTGAAAAATTGTTTACAACTTGTACATGATACTGGAGTAGTAGTCAATTCAATGACATTTGATGGAGCACCAGCTAATTTCAAAATGGCCTCCGAATTAGGAGCTGATTTCAACATTTCATCCCTGAAAACTTCTTTTGAACACCCTGTCACTAAAGAAAATGTTTATTTGTTTCTGGATCCATGTCACATGCTCAAATTGGTTCGCAATTGCTTGGGATCTGAAAAAATTCTTCACAGTGAGAATAATAAAGAAATTGATTGGTCATATATTGACAAATTAGTGGAATTCCAATATAGTGAAGGCCTTCTTGCTGCCACAAAACTCAGAAAAAGACACATTATGTGGGAGAAAGAGAAAATGAAAGTCAAAGTGGCCACTCAAACAATGAGTAAAAGTGTAGCAGATGCTCTTTTGTATTTATCGAAGGACTTATGTATACCTGAATTTGAAGGAGCCGAAGAAACTGCTTCTTTCGTCCAAAAATTCAACGATATTTTTGATATATTCAATTCAAAGAATAGATTTGCTAAGTATTCATGTAAAAAGCCTTTATCTCCACAAACTAAAGAGTCATTTTTCGAATATTTAGATGAAATTGATAGTTATATTCGCAGAATTTCCTGTGAAGGTATTCCAATTTTACAATCAAGAAAAAAAACTGGATTCTTAGGTTTTCTTGTATGTATCAAAAGTTTGAAAGGAATATATCAAGAACATGTTGAAACAAAAAATAATCTAAAGTATATTTTAACTTATAAACTGTCCCAAGATCACTTGGAATTATTTTTTGGGGCAATGAGAAGCAGAGGAGGTTTCAATAATAATCCTACTGCAAGACAGTTTGAGGCAGCGTACAAAAGAATTATTGTACATACAGAAATAAAAGCTGGGAATGCTGGTAATGCTATTAATCTCGATTCCACCTCAATATTGTTTTGTAGCAGTACTAGAGTGACTATCAATAATGATGGAGATGACAATTGTAACACTGATGGGTATATTTTATTTGAGAGACAATTAGAGGAAGATATTAGGTCATTAGATTTCAATAACTCGACAGCTTGGGATTTGACCGACTATGTTGAAGATATTGTCACTTATATAGCAGGATTTGTATCGAGATGTTTGAAAAAAATTTTAACATGTCACAAATGCCTTCGCCTGGTTGAAAATGAGAAATCCCTCTCAATGTTACAACGAAGAAAGGAATACAAGAAATTGACGAACTCATCAGTTTTGGTCATTGAGATTTGTAAAATTGCTGAAAAATATTTCAGATTCTTAGATAAAACCCATAAAATTTATAATAAAAAAATTAAAAACCCAATGAACATCTTGATATCGAATACATTAAAAAATATTCCACATAATCTTTATGATTTATTTGGTGATCATTTTTATGATGGCGATCCAATCGATAGTCATTCCTCACAACTGGTCAAATTAATATTGCAAAAATATTTCAAAATCAGAATACATCATGCCACAAAGAATAAACTCGATTCCACCACCATAAGAATCAGGAGTACACTAACAAAAACAGTTCTTTTTAAAAATCAATGAAATGCCTCGACTTCTGAATTAAAATTTTTTCAGTTTTTCTGTTCTGGTAGGGAATGAAACCCACGACTTACTTGTGTATTTTCGAATGTCTGAATAAAGTGTTTATTAGTAAAGTATTCTTTTGAATGATCGTCAATTCCCTCTATTTTTCGTGTCACAATAATGAGAATTATAGGTACCTATCCGAATGTTCGAAGATAGAAAGCTCTAATCTTTATTGCAAAATTATTCATTTAGCAGTTTTCTTATTTTCAATTCGAAATATTTGTATACCTTGTTGATGGAAATAGAACGAATCAATAGCAAATTATTCTTTTTATATGTAATGAAATCTTGAAAAAATAATTGTTTCCTAGTATCTCGAATATTTTCCAAGTATCAGAAGGTACGCCACTGGCGGAACGTGAAAAGTCACAGTATATCACTTCGCCTCTCTCCCCTCGCCCTAAAGCTACTTGGCTTCAAGATTATGTGAACACAGAGTAGAGGATGCCCAGTCCATCTTTGTTTATACGTCCATGTTCCCGATAGACCCCAAGTGTGATACATTGAGCAAATCAGCTTTTCAGGGAGAATCTAAAAATACAATGAAAAATAGGGTGTTCCATATAAAAAAATCAAATGGTACCCTGTAGATCGTTTGTTCTGAGCACCCTGTATTTTCTGATGTAGCGGAAAAAAAATCAATCAAAAATCATTCAAGATGATATTTCAAATTTTGAAATCGGTTTAAAAATAATTGAGCTAGAGGGGGGGACATTTATGGTGAATCACCCTGTACACATAACCAAAAAATTAAATTGTCCAGCAAGAACCACGAGGTTAGAGCATTCTCGCCAGGGGAAATGGGGAAAGAAAAAGGAGGTGGATAAGGGTTAGTTGGTATGAAAAAATAATAACAAGAAAGTCGAAAAAATAAAAATAAAATAACTCGTGAACAAAAAATATTTATATTCTGTTGAAAACGTAATGTAAACTCAAAAAAATCAACATAACCGACAACCACTCACCTAACGCGAGAAGCACAACAATGACTAATCTGTCTACGCTACGCCGTTCCTGTAACAAGCCACCCCACTGACCCCACTCCTTCGTAGTCGGCTGGCCGAGCCCGCGTGCAGGGTGCAGCCGTAGGTATAATGTTTCCCGCGATGCGATGGATGCATAAATATTATTTAGGTAGTTTATAACCGCTACATGCGTCTTTGAAAATAAATGATATTCTGGAAGTTATACATTTATTACATTTTCGTCACCAGAGCTTTTTTACGATGTTTCAATACCTACTCAGCTCTTGGACTGCTGACATTTTTCTTGCCATATTACCTACATAGGCAGAGGCACAGTAGGTTACATTACAGCAATATTCAAATTGAATTATAACTTATTGACGCTCAGAAGCACTGAAGGAAAATTCTGATACCAATATTAGATGGATATGTTGAATTATGAATTACTGAAAAATTGCAAATTCAAAAATCACCAGTCATTTTTACTGCAACTACTGCAAGCGTAAACAAAAACATGGAAATAATTTTTCTTTTCAGTTTGTACATTTCAAATTCCAACATCAACTTACAAATAAGTATAGGAATTAAAATTATAAATACCTACAATGTAAAATGAAAATAGAATGTCAATCATGCCAATCCGTATATTAAAAATTAGGTCGGAATGGTTCGATACGATGCACAGCGAGCGCACTGCAAACAACTGATACTGATAAGTACGATCGATACGTTGGGCGGCCAGCAGAGCTTGGCCGCACCCAAGGTATGACGCGTATAAGCGAAAATTTAAACTTGAAGCGGGGAATCTGTAGGCGATGCCTGTGGCGATGCGTCGAGACATGAAATCACCGATCGGCCGGCCGTCTGCATCAGTGTAATGAGCTACGCGAGCGTTTCGACTGAAAGCGGCGTTTTGACGATGGGATTACCAGATGTCGTAGGTCCTGAATTAGTTCGTGATTTTCGGTGTATATGCGGATGGCATACTCAAAGGTTCCATGAATGAAATTCAAATAATAGTGGCATAACAGTAGGATAAAGAGCGATGAATTATGAAAACAGTTTCGGAAAATAATTTTATTCATCAAATAGTTCAGTAATTTTCCCCAAATTATTTGGTACGGCCCGGCCGACCCTGCCGTCCCTGACGAGCCGTCACTGATGAGAATTGAATTTTCATCTATCAAGCCTGGCATAACTAATTTGGTGGGGAATAGAAAACAATGTCATGCCTCTCATTTAATGAACTTGGTTTTATCATTTCCTTACCAACTCACTTGGTTTTATCATTTCCTTACCGACTCACTGCTGATGTTCTTTTCCATGTGCGCGTCGGGTTTGGCGGGTTCGTCGTCGCTGCTTTCGCTGTCGTCGGCAAAGATGTCTTCTACCTATGATGAAACCTTTGATTATTTATACCAGCGTTACTCAAAGTATGCTCGGCAATGCCTCCGATAGGACTCCGCTAGCAGTCATGATAAAACGAATTCATGACATTAGTGAATAAGAATAAAGCTCGGAATGAAGTTATTTAAAATAAAAATGAACGATCGAAACGAGAAGCTCAATTCCACAATTTCACTGATTGATTTTTGGTGCCGTGTTTGTGATGAATTTCCACAGCTCCACACAGAGAGGCTTTGATTTTCTTCTGCCGTCCCTAAAACGTACGTGTGCTGAATGGACCAGCATATTATACAACTACATAAACTGAATATATACCGCAATAGACTGGATGCCGAACAAGACATGAGAATTGAATTTTCTTTTATCAAGCCTGGCATAACTAAGTTGGTGGGGAATAGAAAACAATTTCATGCCTCTGATTTAATGAACTTGGTTTCATCATTTCCTTACCAACTCACGACTTAGTGTATCTAACTTTTTTTCGTATGATTATTCACAAAAAATACACATATAAATGAAAATTCCTATAATGTTCGAAGAAGGTCGTGCGTACCTAGGGGATAGAGAGAGGAGATAGGTATTGGATGTTTAAAAAAATTTTTGATGTTCCATTAGGAATTTAATCTGTTCCCTAATATGTGTGTGTGAATGGCGTCGACATTTGCTTGTGTTTTATCGTTATGCCATTTCGGTCGAAGAATAAATAGATCACTTGAAGTGAAGAGCCATCCCAGGATGTGTTGATGAAGATGTCGAAGAATTTCAACTAGTAAAACGGATAGAATTGAGTGCCTATTGTGTCAAGTCAATCAAACTGAAATGATGAAGGGAGGTGTCAATAGAAACAACATATCACACCAATCTGATATACCTACTGTTCTTGAATATGATCACATTTGAAATAAATATAACAACCAGAAAAATAGATGGCCCGTGTGGTGGTCGGATTAGAATAACCCCACGGTAAGTCCTGCCTGTCGTAGAAGGCGACTAAAAGGACGCCAATAGGTGGAAGATGGTTAACGCCATCGCCCGGTGCGATACCACCACATCAACCATAGGCACTGTGAAATGGGTATACTTACCCGTGTTTCAGTAGCTGGTTGATGTTCCGGCCAACCCAACCCAATTTCCTTTTCCTTCCACGCCAACCTCCCTTCTTTATACAGAATACGCGATGATGAGTTCTCCTCAAGTAAAATTATCCGGAAGTAAAATACCTCTCCATTCGGATTTCCGGGCGAGGTGCTCGAGGGGGTTCACCATCGGCTGAAAAAGTCCTCAAGATAGACCTATTTAACATCCGAGGTCTAAGTAAGAACATCAACGATGTCCATCGACACCTTCAAATTGAAAAGCCAGACATATTGGCTCTTACTGAGACACAGGTCAATTCATCCACCAATACGACCTATCTGCTCTGTCCTGGGTACGAACTCCACACACGTTTCAGATTCAAGGGAGGTCTCTGCCTCTACTCTAAAACGAATCTCTCATGTCAACGAGAAAAAACTTTGGAACCAAATAAGTTTGATGTCATGTGGTTCAAACTCGATAGCCAGAAACAGACCAAATACCTTTGTTGTCTCTACTTATCACCAAATGATCCTTCCTATGAAGAGCTCTTCGAATTCTTGTCTCTGAAGCTTGACCAAATTCAACAGAACCATCCAGCAGCAGAAATCATCATCATGGGCGATTTCAATGTACACAACACTGCTTGGCTCGTACACTCTAACAGAACGGATGAAGCTGGGCGACAAGCCGAAGCTTTCGCCATCACTCACGGCTTAGAGCAGCTTATCAAAGAACCCACACGAATTCCCGATGCCAATAACCATTCAGCTAACATACTTGACTTATTCCTCACTAATAATTCAGCACCCTACACCATAGATGTATGAGCTCCACTTGGCAATTCTGACCACACACTTATCTCCACAACCTGCCCATTTTTCATTCCATCAACTGCTCCGGCACCCACACGTCTTATATGGCATTACAATTCAGGAGATTGGGACGGTCTCCGCATGTTTTTCTCCGAGTTTCCTTGGCATAGAGTATGCTTTGACTCTGAGGACCCTTCACAGTTTGCTGCGGAAATATCCGAGATCATCATGCTCGGAATGGACACATACATACCTAATTTTTCGAAAAGATCATCACCTTCGAAAACCTGGTTCAACAAAAACTGTTCTAGAACTGTTGCCTTGAAACAAACAGCCTACCATCGCTGGCGCAAAAACCCTAACCTCGTGACTAGAGCAGAATACGTTGATACCAGGAATAACTGCAGCCAATCAATAGATGCTTCGAAAGAAACATACAATGCCAAGATAAGATCGAAACTCATAGATTGCCCCAATGGCTCCCGTTCGTTTTGGTCCCTTGCTAAAGCGGTCGGCAGAAATTTCACTAATAGTTCATTTCCACCACTGTCCAAATCTGACGGCACATTAGCAACAACATCGCAGGAGAAAGCAAATATTTTTGCAGAGATGTTCGCAGCAAACTCTACTTTAGATTCCCAAGGAAAACTGCCGCCAGACATTCCACCCGTTGAGAGTCGAATGCCCGAAATCGTCTTCCGTCAACGCACTATCAGACGAATTATGCTTGGTCTCAAAACGAATAAGGCTCATGGTCCTGATGGAATTCCACCCATTATCCTCAAAAAATGTGCACCAGAATTAACACCGATTCTCTGCAAGTTATTTACCATCTCGTACAGGTCGGGTATTTTTCCATCATGCTGGAAGACAGCTAGAGTCCAACCAATCCCCAAAAAAGGGAACAAGAACCTGCCCAACAACTACAAGCCCATTGCCCTGTTATCAGTAATCTCCAAAGTGATGGAGAAAGCCATCAACATTGAGCTTATCAAATATCTGGAGAGCTCAGGAATCATCAATGATAGACAATACGGCTTTCGCTACCTAAGATCTACTGGAGATCTACTTGCCTACGTCACCCATTTATGGCAATCTTCAATAGAAAAACACGGGGAATCTCTAGCTGTCGCGTTGGACATATCGAAAGCATTCGACCGTGTTTGGCACGAAGGACTCCTCCACAAACTACCATCATACGGCTTACCACCTCAGCTATGCCATCTCTTATCGAGTTTTCTTTCAGGCAGATCGCTTCACGTGGTGGTGGACGGTGTATCGTCTGATACCATTGGCATCAATTCCGGCGTTCCACAAGAATCAATTTTGGCACCAACATTATTCCTGCTTCATATCAATGATCTGTTGGGAGTAACAACTTGCCCCATCCACAGCTTTGCAGATGATAGTACCCTCCATACTGCGTTCTCTTCCAGAATTCCCATTTCTTCCCAGGAAACAAAGAACTCACGGCGCAGGCAGGTCGATGCTGTCAATGAAGATCTTGCTGAAATCACAGCCTGGGGAACCAACAACCTAGTTGAATTCAACGCCACCAAAACTCAAGCCTGTATTTTCTCTAGAAAAGCGGAACTCAGTATGCCCGATATTGTAATGTCTGGCTCCACCATCCCCACCAAGCCCACCATATCTATGCTCGGTATTTCCATCAACGACACTGTTTCATGGGATAATCATGTCAGATCCATCGCAAAAGCTGCTTCACAAAAACTCGGATTCTTGTTCCGTGCGAAAAGCTACTTTACACCTCAACAGTTTCTCATGATCTACAAAGCGCAGATACGGCCTGTTCTAGAATACTGTTCCCACATATGGGGTTCAGCACCAAAACATACGCTGATGCTCTTAGATTCCATCCAGAGAAGAGCCATTCGCCTGGTGGGTGACGCCACACTCACTCACTCTTTGACACGGGAAATGTTCTTCGGAAATCTCTGCTATCATCCCTTCACTAGCAATACCAATCAGACGAACTAGACAAGCCCAGTCAGCACATCCTTTCGTTGTCAACCTCGAAAGATGTCGAACAGCACTTTATCAAAACTCCTTCATCCATAGAACGGCTAGGCTCTGGAATTCATTGCCTGTGGAAGTATTCCCAACAACATATAATCTCCAGAAGTTAAAAAAAAACTCCAATACCTACCTCCTGTCCCTATCCTCCCTAGGAACGCACGATGTTCTTTGAACATTATAGGGATTCCCTTTCGTGCGCTTCAAGCGATAAAAAAAAAAAAAGATTCTATTTATTGACCAGATTTTATTCCTATATGATATGAATGCATACATTTGAGACAGCCGATTAAATTCACCATATGGATGTCCAAGACAGATACCATATTGATGTCCTTGACGGATACCATATAGATGTCCTCGACGGATAGCTAAAAAGTTGGAAACGCGATATCCTATGGATGTCCATACGTCATCCAGTGTACGCAAACTGGATGTCCTATGGATGTCCGAAATGTGGAGTATGTCCATAGGACGTCCATTGGATCGAGTTATGTTATTAGGGTTATGACAGCAAAGAAGCCAGAAATTCTATTCAGCAGGTGGTGGTATCTATGAGCGACAAGGTGAACTACTTTTTGTTGAGCAGCGACGGGTGGACACCGGGAATGCAGAAAATATTCGAAGTTTATTGTTAGAGGTTTTTATGCAAGAAATAATTTTTAATTAAATGCCTTCAGAATATTAAAGTTAGTGAGTTTCCTGCTTTAGAAAGAAGTATAATATGCCTAGATATTTCAGCAACTTGCAAATAGATGGACTCGAGGAGATTACGAGAGTATAGACAAATCTGCTATGTTTCACTAGCGGCGCTTACGAACCATCTGAGAATTGAGGAATGAAACGACAGTATTCGCGATAGAAAATAACACGTCGCCCTACCTGATGGCAGCAACTTGAACACTTCTGAGCGGTTTGTTTTGATCATAGGCTTGTTCGCGTTCATAATAAAAAACAGTACAAAGCCATCAGGAGCATGCGCAATTTCACAGAACAGTAGGAATATTTCATGATCCGTGGAACTGCGCATGCTTCTGATGGTTTCGGACTGTTTATTTTTCGAACGCGAACGAACCTCATATGACCAATAAGCACAAACAAAAAACACATGTGAACCAATGAAAACAAAGCAAACATGCCGTTTTGACAGCTTTCAAGAAGGTGGCGTACGCTTATTTTCTATCGCGAATAGCGCAAGATCCATAATATAATAGAAAGGTTGTATCATAAAATCCTAGTCAATCGGCGACAGCGTGAATTGCGTACTCTTCGAATTTGTTTACATTTCCACGCCATGACACAATAGTGGCCAAAACAAATTAAATTGTGTTGAAATCTCATACACGTGATTTGTTGAACTTCAGTGACCATTTCTCAATCATCAAAATAGTATTGAAAATATGAAGTTTAAAATAGTACTCCTTTGTAGGGAACTTTCCTTCAATTCAGTTTTGAGAGACAGACACAATGAAGTTGCCTGAATGGCACAGTATATTAAAACTGTTTTAATCTTCTCCTAAAGATGCTAACATAGTTAGCGAAACATGTGTCAAGATGTAAAAAAAAAAAACGGTTTGGTTAGTGGTAAAACAGTGTGTAGTGTATTATCGTGCCAAAGGTTCCAGTCTTTGATATAAATTAAATGTGATATTGCAAATTATTTTAAATATATTATCGCGCCTAAAAAAGATGCGGAGAATGGTACAGGACAGTAAGGCTAAGGCGAATCTAGTAGATATATATATATTGTTAGATCATTGCTCTAGTCCTCCACTCACACTCCCAACACTCACCTCTTTGTCCATATCGGCGATGTCGTCCCTGGAGAACGACATCAGCGGATTGATCGTGTCCATGAATCGGCCGCTCGGCGTCCGCTTCCTGGCCCCCGGCGCCTGGTGCTCGGGGTAATCGGCATCGCGGTGGTGCTCGGGTCTGCTGCAGTGGGGTGGCGGGTGCCGGTTCTTCGACCCCTTGCCCTTCAGGGGGAAGATGCGCTCGTCTGCGTGCTCCCACCTGGACCAGAGCGATATGTTCGTATGTAAATCGTGTATCTATTAGTTGATTTCAATAAATATTAGGCGTTTGTGCCCCCAGGAAACAAGGATGTGAATATAGGTTGACTGACAAAATCCTTCAGGGGGAAGATGCGCTCGTCTGCGTGCTCCCACCTGGACCAGAGCGATATGTTCGTTTGTAAATCGTGTTTCTATTAGTTGATTTTAATAAATATTAGGCGTTTGTGCCCCCAGGAAACAAGGATGTGGATATAGGTTGACTGACAAAATCCTTCAGGGGGAAGATGCACTCGTCTGCGTGCTCCCACCTGGACCAGAGCGATATGTTCGTTTGTAAATCGTGTTTCTATCAGTTGATTTTAATAAATATTAGGCGTTTGTTCCCTCAGGAAACAAGGATGTGAATATAGGTTGACTGACATCCTTCAGGGGGAAGATGCGCTCGTCTGCGTGCTCCCACCTGGACCAGAGCGATATGTTCGTTTGTAAATCGTGTTTCTATTAGTTGATTTCAATAAATATTAGGCGTTTGTTCCCTCAGGAAACAAGGATGTGAATATAGGTTGACTGACAAAATCCTTCAGGGGGAAGATGCGCTCGTCTGCGTGCTCCCACCTGGACCAGAGCGATATGTTCGTATGTAAATCGTGTATCTATTAGTTGATTTCAATAAATATTAGGCGTTTGTGCCCCAGGAAACAAGGATGTGAATATAGGTTGACTGACAAAATCCTTCAGGGGGAAGATACGCTCGTCTGCGTGATCCCACCTGGACCAGAGCGATATGTTCGTTTGTAAATCGTGTATCTATTAGTTGATTTCAATAAATATTAGGCGTTTGTTCCCCCAGGAAACAAGGATGTGAATATAGGTTGACTGACAAAATCCTTCAGGGGGAAGATACGCTCGTCTGCGTGATCCCACCTGGACCAGAGCGATATGTTCGTATGTAAATCGTGTATCTATTAGTTGATTTCAATAAATATTAGGCGTTTGTTCCCTCAGGAAACAAGGATGTGAATATAGGTTGACTGACAAAATCCTTCAGGGAGAAGATGCACTCGTCTGCGTGCTCTCACCTGGACCAGAGCGATATGTTCGCATGTAAATCGTGTATCTATTAGTTGATTTCAATAAATATTAATCGTTTGTTCCCCCAGGAAACAAGGATGTGGATATAGGTTGACTGACAAAATCCTTCAGGGGGAAGATACGCTCGTCTGCGTGATCCCACCTGGACCAGAGCGATATGTTCGTATGTAAATCGTGTATCTATTAGTTGATTTCAATAAATATTAGGCGTTTGTTCCCTCAGGAAACAAGGATGTGAATATAGGTTGACTGACAAAATCCTTCAGGGGGAAGATGCGCTCGTCTGCGTGCTCCCACCTGGACCAGAGCGATATGTTCGTATGTAAATCGTGTATCTATTAGTTGATTTCAATAAATATTAGGCGTTTGTTCCCTCAGGAAACAAGGATGTGAATACAGGTTGACTGACAAAATCCGATTTTGAAAGACAAATTGGCAAATGAAATTACTCCTTAGACCAACCGGCAAGGTTGAAGTGGGCAATCGACTCTTTCCAACCATTCAAGTCCACTGGAATTGACGGCATATTTCCAGCCCTTTTACTAAAAGGACATAAGGAACTAATGCCGTTCATTATCAAAGCAGCCAAACTTACTCTGGCGTTCGGGTACATACCGAGCAGCTGGACAAGGGCGCGTGTGATTTTCATTCCCAAAGTAGGGAAGAAAAACCCTACCCTCAGGGCCGGACTGGTCCGTCGGGCGATCGCCCAATGGCCTGGCTCATTTTTGGCCCACTGGCCTGGGCCTGCCTGTTGGAGCTTTATTTTATACCCGATATTTGGTAGAAATTTTAAATTTCATACAAACGCATGTTTATTCTACCCTGATCTAGAAAATGTATGAAGATATTCATTGACGTGCGTCTATTTCACAAATTGCATGTAACTATGTACGAAGTACTATTTTAAATTGAAATTAATTTTAAATAGAGTAGTAAACTGTCTGTCACAAGATCACGTGGAGGCTTTCATATTAATATCTTCTGAAAGGCCATAACACGACAAAAAAAATCGAGAAATAAATGTCAAAACTGCAGCGTGTAATGTTTTTTTTTATTGTGACAATTTAATTTATGTACATAACATCCCGTAAGCCGCTGTGATTTTGTCATTATGACAGCAAAAAAATTCTACCCTAACTTATCCAGTAACAGAACGGAAATTTAACATTTGAATGCATGACAACTAAAACTGTGAACAAATCTTTGATGGTTTTTATGTCATTCTTTCTCAAACTTGCTTTGTGAGAAAAGTATCTAATCTGTGGAAATTTCGCGATTTGGAGAGTCTTTGAATGGAGAGATTGACAAACCATCAAAAATATAATCTTACCGAATAACACTCAAGCATTTTTTTAGGTCGAAGTAATCTAGTCATTAAAATTCGATTTTTGTTGCTATTAGGAAATTTAAATTTCCAGGTGAATTTGAAATCATTTTTCCCACCTTTATGATACCTCTCTGACAAACCTAACTATCAATTTGAAAGCATTTGACCTTGAACAGCAAAAAATTCGGCCTGCGGCGCTTTTCTGATTTCTGTCTCCCCCATGGCCCGATTTAACCCCTCCCCCCCTATGGAACAAAGCTGATGTATACGCGCCTGTTTAATGTACATTAGTTTCATTATAATTTGTTTATTGTCTTGCTCTCATTTTCACTTATTAGTCTATTGTGACAAGATTTTGATTTTTCCAGCATGTCCGCAACATCAGTGTACGATCTACCATTTTCAATTAATGCTACAGCCCTCGCCACATTAGTAGGAGTCAAATCTCCCATGTTGAATTTTCATTAATCAAATTTATGAATTTTGAATTGTGAATCGCTTGACTTTGACAATAATTAATGACATAAACGAAATAGCCAACGTTGATCCGTATAAGTGTCTGTAAACAGTAAACCGATAGTTAAAATCCTCACAGAAACAAGTTGAAAAACGACACGTTCTTATCCCCAGTTCCGAGTTTCAAGGTGGTGAAATTAATACCAAAATATCCACCTTTTCTTTGAAACTCTGTATTTTCTTGAATCATTGAGATATCAAAATGAATGAAAAACTAGAATATTCGGAAAAGATTGGGCTACAATTTGATGTTGAGAAACCGCTTGTATTATCAATGGTTTACTCCACAGAATGTCTTAAAAAATACCGAAACAACCATACTTTCTTTACACCCCTGTATATGATATAAAGACGAATCGTTTGAAGGTGGTTATTTCTCAGATGTATTCGTGAAGAATAAAGCTACAATTTGTGAAGAAAAAAAATTAAATCAAGCGATCGGATCGAGAGAAAATTGATGTCAAACTTAGTGTAACTTTTGCCCGTTCCCCTAATTGTGCCAGTGTATATATTTCCATTTTTTTAAGCCCACTAGAAAATTATGTAGTGGGTTCTGTTTTGGATTTTTAATCTGTTTTGTAACCCCTTTTCTGGCAAATAAATAAATAAATCTTTGTTGCACCTGCCCCTGACACAGTCTGTGCTATTCAAGAATCGAGAAACCGGCAGTCTCCCTTCTAGGTGTTTATAATAGTTGCGTTTTATTTATCCAATTCTGCCACCGGAATCACTTTAATGCGTCGTTATATTTGCATCTCTTCCGATTCCTGTTGCTACTTTTCATTCCGTCTCACTACAAGGAATAAGGAATGACAGTTGACAGTTGTCTAAAAATGAAATTAGATTGCGAAAAAGGAAACTTTTTGGAAGTAGAAGATGATTAGAAGACATTATTATGATTGTTTCAAGTAGGACAGGTTTTATATCTTCATTCCAAGATAAAATTTATTCTCTCCAGCTCGGAGAACTTTCTCCAATCACCACAATCTTTGCTCCAAATATGCGTTGATTCATTTTCTTGATTTTCAACTCTAGTATTATGATTTTGAAATAATTTGGAGCCCCACTATAGGTCGCGTGCACGATGACCGACCCTGGAGGCAAAATATTGAAATACAACCTCATTCTTCTGTGAATTATTGAAACACAACCTCACTTTTTTATTTGGTTACAAAGGAATCAGAGGATTGATATAGTTTTTCACAATATTTTGGCATACGAATCGTGTTTTTTGCGCTATTCATTAATTCAAGAATGCCTTCGCATTACTTCGCATTACTTGTACTGTTGTACAATGCACAAAAAATGCAGCAAGAGACTAAAGAATATGATTCTTCAGGTAAATAGTAATCTCACATAGTTATCATTATGAAATGTTGTCATTCATCATTAAAATTCCTTCTGCCTTCTGCCACTTCTGCAATACAAGCTAATACTGCTAATAGATTGAAAATGTCTACAACACACACGATCTTCAGCATGTCAGACCAGTCCTCCCGATGGATTGCATGTACCCAATCTTCTTGCATTATTTTAGACATTTCAGGTGTATTTCTATAAGCTCCTATCGCAGAAGGAATTCCGATGAGAAATCAGAGAAATTACGAAATTTCAAAAATGAAAACTATATGTGAGTGACTATAGTAGGTACTTACTTTCAATCATAATGTACCAACCGGATTACTTCGTCTTCTGCTGCAGTTTTTGTGCATTTCACAACAGCATAATGTGATGGCATGAGCGAATTGATGAATAGCGGAAAAATACGATTCCTATGCCAAAATAATTGTGAAAAACTATTTGGATCACTTGTAAACAAATAAGAAAAGTGACGTTGTGTTTCAATGTTTTGCCTCCAGTGTCGGTCATCTGACAGTTCTTGCACGCAACCTATATAAATATCGGGTTTCTCAATAAGAACGCTCGATCTTTAAAGTGTAATAAAAAATAAAGTATAAATAAAACTGACATAATTCAATATTTATTTTGAAGCATATGTAACTACATTATGTTTTAAAAATTATGTCACTTAAATGTCCGCTCCAAATACGGCAGTTTTGCTTGTTGACGAAGCCACTTAACCAAAAATGTGCCTGGTCACTAAAGATTATTTTATTCGCAAAATCGCGGTCACCCTCCAACTGTTCTAGTACCCAGACAGCGAATTCACGCCGATGCCTATGATCGTTGGGCTTTAATTCCTGCGTGATTTGCACCTTATATGGGTGAAGCGATAAGTCGTGATGCAGAATTCGCCAAGTTGACATCCGCGAAAGTCCAAGTTCTTGAGCACGACGCGGAATAGAGTGTCGTGGATTCTCATGCACACTTGCTCGGACTGCCGCAATATTTTCAACGGATCTTACTCTTCGCTGACGTACAGGAGTTCTTTGATCTGCCACTGAACCAGTTCCATCAAATTTGTTCATTAAACGGCGAATTGAGGACTCTGCAGGACGATCATTAGCACCATAAATTGCGCGAAGTGCGCGGAATGTTTGCCGAACGGAACATTGGTTTTGGTAATAAATTTTGACGATTTCGACACGTTGTTGAATTGTGTAACGCTCCATAATAAATGTTAAAGCTAACTGAATATTCCTGCCAAAGATAACGCCTGTGTGACTTTCGACCTTGTAATGCGCTGTTGCCAAAGATCGAGCGTTCTTATTGGGAAACCCTTTATAACCTCTAACATCTATAATTTCTCACATGGAAGGATTGCAAGGTCATGAAGTTCCTCGTTTTATTTGTAAACGTCATTATGTTCTCACCACCGTTACCAGAATGAAACAAATAAAACGCAATTATTGAGTTCATTGCTTACCTCTCGGCGCAGCACCACAGCCAATCCGGCGTGACGATCTTGAGATGCTTGCGCCGCCTGGCGGCATTGACCTTCGCCGTGCCCGGCCGCACCGCCACCAGGTGCGTCGTCCTGTCGTCCAGCTCCTGCACCACCGTGGCGCCCAAGCTGCGCGCCACCTGGTAGGCGCGCGACCGCTCCAGCTCAACGTGCCACGGCACCAGCCCGCTGAACGCCAAGTGGCAGCCCTTCAGCACGTGGCGGCGCACGCGCGGGATCACCTACGTTCGGAGTTTCATTTATTCCAACCAGAGTTGCCGTTTTTATTACCATTGTATTTTTCTAGTACATTTCATACACATTTAGTACGACAACAATCTAGTACAAAAACAAAAGTAAATGTAAAAACTTCAGGAACGATAAGATTTCCACAAAATTCTTAAACACACAACATGTTTCGCTAACACAGTAGCTTCGTCAGGTGATATACTGGTACAATGAACTAAACCAGTGACGGCTCGTCAGGGACGGCAGGGTCGGCCGGGCCGTACCAAATAATTTGGGGAAAATTACTGAACTATTTGATGAATAATAGTATATTACATAACAAGAGTTGTAAAACGCATATTACGCACGAAGTGGAGAGAGTTACACACGATGCCGCATAGCGGCGAGTGTGTAACTCCACAAGTGCGTAATTGCTTTACAACTCGAGAATTGTACTATACTTTTTCTACGACTACACTATATTTTCTTCCGGATAGTGCAGATATTGATGAATTAAGGCACAAATAACGAATACCAATATGAAACTTCTCCCGTCACTAAGCCAGCTGCATGGAAAGTTACAAATCACAAATCTTGTGTTTGTTCATTGATACATTGCATACCGAGACATTTTCCTCAATTCGAAATGAAATGAAGCCATTTTTCATATCTAAACAGCTTCATTAATAGGGAGCAAAACACATTGTATAAAAATATATAATCAACATTCATAATGGATATTTATTTGTAACAGTGCAGCACGAGAGATTCTGTAATCGTTATTAAAAATAAAAAAAAAAGTTCTCCAACTGCGCTCTGAACCATCGACCTTTTGGTTCGGAGCCAGCGCTTCCAACAACTGAGCTACCACCATTTCTCCGTACTAATAGATATTTTATTCATAATTTCGAAGATTGATCTTTTTTAATTATTTCTGTTATTCAAAGGAAAAGGAATTCATCAATTCAATGTTGAGTATTTTTTTCATTCCTAGCTTTTTTCCATTCTAGCTTTTTCCATTATTTCTGGTGGTGTAGAAATAATCTGCTCATCGTCATCGCTTGAAATAATTTTTTTGAGGAAATTGAGGATTATCAATAGAAAATAATCATATTTTCAAAAAATATAACTTTCCTGATGCTTTCGGTTTCGGTGGATAGCTGGATTGATTGATAAAAAGATAAGTACCTACCCACCTAGCTAGTGACATTGATGAAATTGTTAATTGTTATTGACACATCGCCTAAGCAACAAAACAAGTCATCTATCAACATGCCTATGAAAACCGTGCGATCGCTCTCTTTACGCACACGTGTGTAAGGAGTAGCTTACTGCCATTGTTTTGTGTACAATATCCATCACTTACAGTAGTAGTCGTAGGAAAAATTATTTTCCGAAACTGTTTTCATAATTCATCGCTCATTATCCTACTGTTATGCCACTATTATTTGAATTTCATTCATGGAACCTTTGAGTATGCCATCCGCATATACACCGAAAATCACGAACTAATTCAGGACCTACGACATCTGGTAATCCCATCGTCAAAACGCCGCTTTCAGTTGAACCGCTCGCGTAGCTCATTACACTGATGCAGACGGCCGGCCGATCGGTGATTTCTTGTCTCGACGCATCGCCACAGGCATCGCCTACAGATTCCCCGCTTCAAGTTTAAATTTTCGCTTATACGCGTCATACCTTGGGTACTTTTCAGTATTAGTTGTTTGCAGTGCGCTCGCTGTGAACCGTATCGAACAATTCCGATCTAATTTTTAATTTACGGATTGGCATGATTGACATTCTATTTTCATTTTACATTTTAGGTATTTATAATTTTAATTCCTATACTTATTTGTAAGTTGATGTTGGAATTTGAAATGTACAAACTGAAAAGAAAAATAATTTCCATGTTTTTGTTTACGCTTGCAGTAGTTGCATTAAAAATGACTGGTGATTTTTGAATTTGCAATTTTTCAGTAATTCATAATTCAACATATCCATCTAATATTGGTATCAGAATTTTCCTTCAGTGCTTCTGAGCATCAATAAGTTATAATTCAATTTGAATATTGCTGTAATGTAACCTACTGTGCCTCTGCCTATGTAGGTAATATGGCAAGAAAAATGTCAGCAGTCCAAGAGCTGAGTAGGTATTGAAACATCGTAAGAAAGCTCTGGTGACGAAAATGTAATAAATGTATCTCGAAATGTATAACTTCCAGAATATCATTTATTTTCAAAGACGCATGTAGCGGTTATAAACTACCTAAATAATATTTATGCATCCATCGCATCGCGGGAAACATTATACCTACGGCTGCACCCTGCACGCGGGCTCGGCCAGCCGACTACGAAGGAGTGGGGTCAGTGGGGTGGCTTGTTACAGGAACGGCGTAGACCGTAGACCGATTAGTCATTGTTGTGCTTCTCGCGTTAGGTGAGTGGTTGTCGGTTATGTTGATTTTTTTGAGTTTACATTACGTTTTCAACAGAATATAAATATTTTTTGTTCACGAGTTATTTTATTTTTATTTTCTTTCATTTTATTTTTTCGACTTTCTTGTTATTATTTTTTCATACCAACTAACCCTTATCCACCTCCTTTTTCTTTCCCCATTTCCCCTGGCGAGAATGCTCTAACCTCGTGGTTCTTGCTGGACAATTTAATTTTTTGGTTATGTGTACAGGGTGATTCACCATAAATGTCCCCCCCTCTAGCTCAATTATTTTTAAACCGATTTCAAAATTTGAAATATCATCTTGAATGATTTTTGATTGAGTTTTTTTCCGCTACATCAGAAAATACAGGGTGCTCAGAACAAACGATCTACAGGGTCCATTTGATTTTTTTATATGGAACACCCTATTTTTCATTGTATTTTTAGATTCTCCCTGAAAAGCTGATTTGCTCAATGCATCACACTTGGGGTCTATCGGGAATGATTACAGAGATATAGGGTGTTCAAAATCGAGATTTTTCAACTTTAGGATTTTTTTGAGACGAAACTATTCATCATCGGTCAAAACGGCTTTCATGTCCATATCTCAACTTTTGATTTACAATCTACTGACATTTAATAATTGGAACAGATACAGGGTGATCAGAATTCTGAATCTTGAACCACCCTGTAAATGTTCCAATCAAATCTCAATAGACAGTTAATCAAAAATTAAGATGGAAACATAGGAGCCGTTTCGACCAATAATGAATAGTTTCGAGACAAAAAAATCCTAAACTTGAAAAATCTCGATTTTGAACACCCTATATCTCTGTTATCATTCCCGCTAGACCCCAAGTGTGATGCATTGATGAAATCAGCTCTTCAGGAAGAATCTAAAAATACAATGAAATACAGGGTGTTCGATTTGGAAAAATCGAGTAGTACCCTGTAGATCATTTGTTCCGAGCACCCTGTATTTCCTGATGCAACGGGAAAAAAATTCTGAGAAATCATTTTAGATCATCCTTCAAATTTAAATCGGGTCAAAAATAAGTGAGCTAGAGGGAGAAAGGACAATTATGGTGTATCACCCTGTACATGCTTATTTGCCATCGAACTTCACTCAAGCCGCTGACCCACTTACGTTCGCATTTTAGAGCAATATCTATACCCTGGCCGACCCAGGTTCTGAGGGCACGAGCCGTCACTGAACTAAACCAACGTTGGCTTGCTTAACTTTTATATATCCTACTTTCTCAACTTGAAGGAATAATTACCTGTCGACAGGATCGATAAACATTGAATTACGGAATACCGGATCAACTTGAAAGGGTTGATAGCAAATAAATATTATTACCTACTAGGAAAACAAATTCAACAGTAGTGAACTATTGAGTTCTAATTGATCTTTAAGTAAAATGTCAGAATTTTTGAGTTTGTTGATTTCTAATGATTCAAAATGATTGAGTTTCATTCCTTCATTCTCTATGTGTAGAATTTTGAAATTATCATCAAAACTATGGTTTTCTTCTAATACATGGTTGGCGTACGTACGACCTGTCTGAACGATATATACCTTAGGACAAGATCCACAGTTGAGTTTGTATATCCCTGATTTTTCGAATTTAGAAGTTTTGTCTTTATTATTCAAACCTAATAAGTCCTTTGTCTCATTGACACTCTTCAATACAGAATTATTTATTTTATAAGCCGTCTCAATATAATCATGACCCATTGAAAAACTGATACAAAATCATTTTGAAATATTGAGTTCCAAGTAATTAACCCTAGACCAGACATTGAAGTTATTCATATCAGATTGCTGCAGATCAATATCCATTGCTTCTTTCACATAAAGTAAGATCTCTGAATGATCTATAAACAATACCTTCTTCAAGTCAGGGACATCGCCTGACTCCATCAGATCGTACTCGTCGTAGAACTCTTTGTGGACAAGCTTAAGGATCTCTTCTAAGTAGATGAGGTAGTCATCAGGGTCTTCTATTTCAATGAGGTCGTCGTCGGATTTCTTGCCGTTTTCTTCTGGATTAGGTTGAAGGTTTGGCTGCTGCTGTTCTTTACTTATTTCATTACTTCCTGCTTTCTTGTTGATATCATTATTCTCTGTAGTCTCATTGTGACTGCTCTCTTTATTTTCCATGGTTTCTTTTTCATTACAGTCTGTTTGTACTTCTTCATTTTCATTGTTTGGTTTTGGTGAACCCTCACTTTCTGTTTTTTCATTATTGTTATTTCCAATTTCTGCAATTTTTTCGGTTTGCCCTTTAGCTTTTTCCACATTCTCTTGTGATTCAATATTCACCCCATTTTTCTCAATATCAGACTTTTCAGGACTAGGTTTGATTTTTTCTTGACTTATTACAATAGTACCATTCTCCTTAAAAAATAACAAAGGATTATAAGAAAAGAGAATAAGCTCCATGATATCTGGACCATATGGATATAGGATAAACTTTGTCATAACTATATCTTTGGAGATGTCAATGCCAAACTTTGGTAGGTCTGATTCTAGGTTTGATGAGGTAACTGAGTGTACAGGGTCATTCCATATATTCAAACAGCTTTTACCCGGTTTATCATTGAAGCTAGAGAAAAACTTCGAATGCAGAAGTTGTAGGGTTTGTTCTGAACCTCCAGAAAATTATACCAGATGAAACAAATGAATATCGCTGATATAAGAAATGGGTACCAACTTCGTTATTTTCAATGGGACACCCTATATATTTTTCGAAAAAATTCAAGATTTTTTCTTCCTGATTCCAAAAATATATTGGTCATTGATATTTGGTTCAGCCGTTTTCGAGATATCCGAGGTTGAACTTTTTAGATTTTACCAAATTGCAACTGCCATGGAAGAAAAAAAACGCACTTTTATAACTGAAGGAGATGCAATTTCACAGATGTTCGATGTGACCCCGAGGTTTTATAGTAAAACTATCAAATGTTGGATCAACCAAATCCTTTAATTATTCTATTTTACTTCAGAATTGACAACTAACTTCATCCTTAAAATCTCACAGGGAGATTGATGAAGATTGATCCACTACACCTTGTTGTTTTTAGAATCATTTGGCATTTAATTTTGTGATGTTGATTTTTAGTTGTTGATTAGTAATTTACGAAACCGAGAAGTGGAATGGAAGATGAAAAGAACCTGTAGTTTTTTCTGGGAGACGGTGTTGTTGGCTTATTTTTCGGAACTTTCCCGAGGGAAAAAAGTAATTTAATGCAAAGTGACGTTCTGTAACCTGTCAACAAAGATGAAATGTCGAACTTTTCTCTGGTCACAGAAAAAACAAACAGTATTCAAAGGTCTGTTCCTTTGTATTGCCGAACTTGCTGAAGGTGATTTTTCTCCCATATTTGTCTGTTTATGGCATGATGTAAACAGAGAGTCATACAAAAAAAATCAATTTTAACAGTTAGAGCAAACACAAACAAATAGGGCACAAAGAAGAGTTGAGCAATAGGACTCTAATACCTTTCAATTTCATTTCTCTTTAGAATTTTTCTTTTGATTTTATGGTGCTAAAATCAACAAGAATGCCATGATAATTTTCAAAGTGAAAACTGATGTCACGATTTGGTAAATAGGGACAGACCATAGCACAGTTGCCATATGTTGAAATAGGATTGGAAATTCAGAAATATTAGTTATTCAATAATTCATAAATTCTCAATTTTGTATTGATTATATTACTAATTAGACATAAAAAATTAATTGTCTCAAGAGATTCCCTCATCTGTTGTGGCTTATTGCTTCTTGTGTTAATAATAAAATCATTATATCAATTCACACTAGAGGACATTTGAGGGAAAACGTGACAACACGGCGCACTCGACAGTGCATGAATTGTGGGCGGGGCCTCGTCAGTTCTCAGCATTCAGCTGTTTGTTGCCAAGTCCTCAGCATGATATGTTTTATGGAGTATAAGAGATATTTGGGCATACTGGTTGCTTGAAAAAGTCAAGAATGATTGATAATATCATGGCTTCCTCATATTATGTTTTATCTCCTGTTTTATTCAAGGACAAGATTCCAATCTTTTTGATAAATTGATTATAATTGGTGACTCCACAACCTTGCTTCATGAGTGGAAATGAAAGATTATCTGACCAATAACAAAACAGCATTAAAACATCACCATTCATTGGCAGTATGGCCAAATGGCGGCCATGACTGTATATTTGAAAAGAGCTCTGAAATTCAACAATTTTGAACATTGCATAGACTCATTATTTAAATAAAAGAGAGAATGAGAAATGTTGCAAAAATCAATTTAGGTCCCTAAGGACACAGTGGAGTAATTGAATGCCAATAATTCATGATCAGTCCACTAGCCCAATCTCTGATAGATGGATGGATACACTTTCAAAAATAATATACAAAAACTGTTGAATAAAAATTGAATTTTTATTTTTACATTTATTTATGTACCTATGTAACAGAGTAATGTGTTGTGAGTTAATGTAGGGTTAATCCATTCTTTTATAACATTAACAACAAAATCTCACTCATTGAATTGATATCTGGCTGGTTTTTGACAGCAGAGCTGGCTTGAAAAACCATATGCCTGCGGTAACACTGTTTGATGATTTTAGCACTTAAAAGTCAATGAAAAAATTCAACAACAAAAAATGAGTCCACCAGCCTATTGTTAGAAGCTAATATTTTTTTATTGACTTCTTAACCTGTATATCCAATAAAAAATTACTTACTTCAAGTGTATCACATTTTTCTTGACTGTTATCCAATTTTTGTACTTCTGGGTATATCTCATTTTCTTTACTGTTATCATCATTTTCAGTCCTGGGTAATTCATCACTTTGAACTGTATCTATTTTCTTTTTGATAACCTTTCCTCTAATCTTAGTCAAATCAACACCTCCATGTTCATCATTTTCTTGTTTATTAAGACCAGGAGGTGCATTTATGTCTCCTGTATGTTGGAAAAAGTGATATGGCTTCACATGAATCAAGTTGCTTGCATGAGACCATACATCTTCTCTGTCATCAATAATACAGACCATGTTATCTCCACATGGAAATAATGCTCTATAAATTAATTTGTTACTCAGTCAATTATCCTATACAACAATGATGAAACTACCTACTTCAAATTAGCCTTTTTACTGGTGGGATCAAAACACTCATCTCTAGACAAAATCCTATTAGAGAAAATTTTCTGATCACCATCTAAAAATAATGCAATTGTATGTGCATAGTTTCTAGCCCCAAAAGTGCAAATATGTAATTCATAAAAGTCATGAATATTGTTGAGAAACTTGTGAGTAGCAGGTCGCAATCTGGTATGGTACCAACGGGAATTAGGGCCATAAAGTTGAAAATGGTAGACATCTTTGATGTTTGGTGGAATATTGTCATTTGTGGTATGAATGAGTGTTTGATCCAAGTCTACCAGTAGGACAAGTTTTCTGTCTCTTATCAAACGTTCACTATCTGCTTGGCCCAACTTTCTTGCCACCTATAATCCCAAGTTTAATGTTGAATCACCTTAATTTTGAGTCCAAGTACATTGTGTACACATACCTCTTCACTGACTTTAAGATCTGGTATTGCATGAACCATGGAAACAGAGGCACTACCAACAATATCATTTTTCCGAAGGTCTGCTCCACATTCTGCACACATATCATGCATTATAGTAGGATGAGAACATGCTGACAGTTCCAATAATCCCTCTCTGGAAAAAATGATGTGAGGTTAGAGATCAATTAAAACCCCGAAAATATCTATCTAGAACTATTGCTTCAGAAAATTGTAATTTTCTGATCGCTAACGTTTTCCCGCCATATTTTAAACATTTTTTAAATGCTTACCCGGGATTGACAACATCGCCCTCCTTGGCCAAAATCTTCTGAATTGTTCCTGCTTGTGTAGACTTCAACTTTCGTTGTTGAGCTTTCTGGTCCCCCAGGATATTGAAAAGTAGTAAAGGTCGACCTACTGATACTGTTATACCTTCTCGAACTTTCCATTTTGATATTTTTATAGGTTCTGTTTGTTGCTGCGAGATGCACACTGTTTTTTCCGCCATATTGAAATTGAACTGAGCAAATTGCACCAGTAGCTTTTTGATTGGTGAACGATTCCTTGGAGAGGTTTAGCGGGAATTTTTGAAATTCCAATACATTATTAATATTTTGCATGATAATCTGAAACGATTATTTTCTCATATAGTTCATATTTTTATAATCCGAGTATGCAGGCAAAATTCATTTGCCTCCGTGATGAAGTATACTCTTCTTTTTTGCTTCAAAAATGATGTTAACCCAGTTTTGAGTGAGAAAGTCACTTTACGCACGTGTTAGGTTCACTGGTTTTTCTACTAGCCTGCGGAAAAAACCCACCTTTCGTGCGCTACAAATAAATAAAATTGAGTATTATAATATTAAATTAACAAATTTACTTTTCGCACTGTAGTTTACGGAAAAGTGTCCCTTACAACACCAAAATCAGTACGGAAAAGTGAACTTTTCCGCACGCTAGTAGATAAAAGTCGTATTTTGAGCACAGCAATAATATGTCCTTGAAATATTTACATCGAATGTTTTGAATCAAGCTGTATATACAGGGTGTCCCGAAATTACATATATAAAGATTTCAACCACAGATTCGCGATCTAGGAACGAAAATAGTAAAGAAAGTTTATACATAAACATGGTTCCAGAAATGGCCCCTTTGAGGAGTTATATATATATATAAATAACATCTAAAGGAGAACCCGAGATGATGGTTCTTTGTAAATATATTCGAAACCCTCTGTGATTAATAAATAACGAAATTTTGTACATGTGCCTGACTATTTATGCCCGACTAACAAATTTTGAGAATTTGCCGAAATTTTTATCAGGGGCGGCTTTACAGAGGCGCTTTTTTCTCAAACTTCTTTGTTCATGTAATTTTCGGCAGTTTTACCAGGAAATATGAGAATTTCATCTTTTTTACTCAATTCTACAGGAAGTATATATATATATTAACCTTTTGTGTAGTTTCGATAGTCTGCTGCACAATAAAAATAGTACCTTTTCTTAAAGGGTAGGCACAGCACCTATATATAACCGTATTTTATTTTTCAATTTTTTATTTATATGGCATTTTGAATCAAAACATCGAAAGTAGATGGTAAAAGAAGGGTTATTATTTTTCATCAGACCATAATTTTTGGGAAAATGCGGCACTTACCCTAATAATAAGGAAAAAGCGCTATTTTTTTTTTTCATATTATTGTAAAATCGATTTATCTCGAAAATGGTATGAATGCCATCGAAACTAAATATAAGAGTATATCATTTATGAGTAAAAATGTTGAAATTTACATAATTCGAGATCATGCGAACTGCCGAGAATTGGATTGACAAAAAAAGTTGGGAGAAAAAGTACACACACACATTTTCAAATCGGACATACAAAGTTAGGTACATATGTACAAAATTTGGTTATCACAGAGAGGGTATAGAAAATATTTACTATTCATCTGGACAATACTGGACCCAATTCCGACCCATATATTCAATTGAACTGTTTTTACTATTTTTGTTCCTATCATCTGCGGTTGAATAAATATCTCTATAAGTAATTTCGGGACACTCTGTATAATTGATATAGATATACCATAAATTAGAACAAAACTAGGAAATATCAGCCCCTTTTTGTTCTTCTGAAAGACACAACCCAGACAGCACTGGATATTCCGAGAATATTTTCTAAATATGCTAAAAAGGAGTATATTCCGAATATCCACCGAATATACCTAGATATTCTCAGAATATTATAGTTGGATTGTTCATCAGGGGCAGGTATGAATGTTCAAGGAATATTATGTGTTGTATATTCATAAATATTCCAAAATATTAATTCTCTGTTGTATTTTCATGAACTATTCCAAACTGAATATTTTGTGTTCTAGAGGTATATTATATTCATGAAATATTCCATCAATACCTATTCCCATGATTTTCAATATGGTATAACCATGCTTGAACACCAATAATTTTTTTCGAGCAAATGTGAGTATCAAACGTTTAAGTAAGGAGATTTTGAACAAAAAAAGTTTATGATCCCATTCTGAACAGCTCAAAAGAAATTAATTGTTATGTACAACATTTTTTGGACACTGTTCGAGATATATTATTTCTCTCCTTTAATTTGGCTCTCAGCATTGGTTTTATCAGAAAAAATTGTTTCTGATTAAAAAGTTTTGCAATTTTGCAAACACTATGAGTTTATCTTGAGTAAATCATTATTTTACAGAAAGAATCAAGATTGTGAATACTGTTTTTTATATTGATTTGATTAAAAAGCTCACAAAAAATGAGAAACTTCTACTGTTTGAGATTATATATTAATTATATTATAGAATATTAACACATGGTAACCTAAAATTATACTAGAAACACACCTTCATGAATAAAGTTCGTATGACAAAACAAACCTTGTTAAAACAAATAAAAAAAATAACTATTCAGATATATTATATTCATATTCACATCATTTAAATAAAATCGCTAAAAATCATCGATCTGTGCTAAGTATATATACCTGGTGTCTCCAAGAACCAAGAACTAAGCCACCCCATTAACTATTGAGCTTAGTTGAGATGATCTTGAACTTTGGGAGTTTGTATCTATTCTACCTAAAATTTGCATGTATTGATTCAACTTCACAATTGGATCAGTTTTAGAAAAACTTCATTAGTTTTTGAATGAATATCCGGATTTTTTATATATACAGGGTGTCCCATTGGGAAACGGAAAAACTTCAACGGTGGGTAGAGCTCATCGTGGTGGTTCTGAATATACCATATTTGTAGGGTCTCACAAGTTCTATATCCGAGATATAGGGTGTTTTATCAATTTTGCCCAATTCTTTGTGAGGACATAACTTACGAACCACTAAGTATATTCTTTTGCAATTTGGTACACAATTCCTTCTTTTTCTACCAAAGCGACTCACCTATCAGTCACGAAAAAAATCCAGGTCCGGATTAACAAAAGTTGATAACATTTCCGGACACCAAAAAGAACACCCTGTATTTTCGAATTTTCAAAATCCGCTTACATATACACACATAAAGTGCACAAAAAGCTGAACCGAATGGTATACTTGTCATTTTTCCGCATGCAATTTCACTAAGGAATTTCTGATTTTGAATTCGAGATTTTATGCATTTGGATAGGTAAAAATAACATGTTTTGAGTTTTCCCTATCGAATAACAACAATTATCACAAACCACCCAGTATATTCCTTTGGACTTTGGTACACGAGTTCTCCTTATTCTACCCAAGCGCCTCACCTATCATCCACGAGAAAAATCCAGGTCCGGATTAACAAAAATTGATCATATTTCTGGACCCCAAAAAGAACACCCTGTATTTTCGAATTCTCAAAATTCGCTTACATATTTGGAAAGTGCACAACAAGCTGAACCGAATGGTGTACTTTTCATTTTCCCACATGCAATTTCACAAAGGAATTTCTGATTTTGAATTCGAGGTTTTATGCATTTGGATATAAGTAAAAATAATATGTTTTGAGTTTTCCCAATCGAATAATATTATCACGAACCACCCAGTTTATTTCTTTGGAATTTGGTACACGACTTCTCCTTGATCTACCCAAGCCCCTCACCTATCATTCACGAGAAAAATCCAGGTCCGAATAAACGAAAATTGATTATAATTCTGGGCCCCAAAAAGTACACCCTGTATTTTCGAATTTCCATAATATGCTTACATATTTGAGAATTGCACAAAAAGCTGAATCGGATTGTCTACTTTTTATTTTCATACGAATGCTATTTCACTACTGAATTTCTGATTTTGAATTTGAGGTTTAATGCATTTGGATAGGTAGAAATCGAGGTAAAATGGAAAGTTTTGAGTTTTCAGAATTAGAAATTAATTAGTGAAAGAGCATGCGTGATATTGAAAAGTACACAATTCGAATCATCTCTTTGTGAACTTTCCAAATATGGAATCACATTTTGGAAATTCGAAAATACTGGGTGTTCTTTTTCGGGCCCAGAAGATCATAATTTTTCGTTAATCTGGACCTGGATTTCCATCCTGACTGATAGGTGAGTCGCTGGGGTAGAAGAAGGAGGACTTGTGTACCAAATTCCAAATGAATATACTGGGTGATTCGTGATAGTTTTTGTTATTCGATTGGGAAAACTCAAAACATTTCATTTTTACCTATCCAAATGCATGAAACCTCATATTCAAAATCAGAAATTACCTAGTGAAATAGCATGCGGAAAAATGGAAAGCACATCATACGATTCAGATTTTCATGCACTTTCCAAATATGTGAGCGGATTTTGGAAATTCGAAAATACAGGATGATATTTTTGGGGTCCAGTAGCACAATTATTTCGTCCAAATGAAGAGCTGTACGAACAATGATTAGAATACAAAAATGAGAAAAATGAGACACTGACGAATCCTGAATAAATGGCAAATAGCAGCTTCAAAAATATCTCAGAAAACTGAAAATCAACAGGGGTTGCGTAGTTCTTGTAGCCTTTGGGTAGATATCCGGATAATCACATTAATTCACTACTGATTATGGGAATAAATTAAAAATCAGATTCACCCTGTACCGTCTTCCATGAAAAATGAAACAAAATTGAATATGTACATGAATACTACTGAATAATTTCCATGGTAAAACATTTAATTTTACCAAATACAGTTATTTTTACTATTCTTTTCAGAAATGATTCTGAGAAAGTTAATATTCATATTTCATATTCCAAGTGAACTTCACATACAATATTACATTCTGATAAATTTACCCTCAAAATCAGCTTCAGGATCCACCAAATCAGTTCTAATATTGAAAAACCATAATGAATAATTTTTAATATCAGACTACTGACTTGGGTAAATAACTTCAGTGCTTGGCCGATTATCATAGATAGGAGTTTACAGTACTTTTGATAAACCCTAAGAATAAATGTATAAGAGAAGCATTTAACAGCATCCTGAACCTTGAGATCCACCTGCTCCTCCAGCTCCAGGCAGAGAGGGGTTAGTCGGAGAATGTTGTGGCCCAATCTTGATGCCATTTGCCTGAAAATTATAGAAATACCCTTTAGTGGTTTGGCCAAACATGAACATCACTGATAAAAAGTAACACTTTATAGTTCTTTGTATGCCTAGGCCGAGAAGTACTTTTTTGGCGTGCCGAAAGAAGTTATCGCCGAGGCCGCTTCCGGCCGAGGAAAGATAATCTTGAGGTCGCCAAAAAGTTTCGCGGCCATGGTATATACATTATTTTTTCGTCGACCTCTACAAAAAATCACGATTTACTTTCTAATTTCCGAACGAAAAACCGACTATTCCCGAAGGCAAGTACCTTTCATCGGCAGACTCTACTGAATTTTCAGTAGATCTCCTGATTTGCATATTGATCTTCCGATCTAATGAACCATTTTATAATCTACTGACAAATATGTTGACACTTATTTATTATTATAACTACTTATAATATTATCAATCCTTAGTTAATCACATACACATATAAATTGCATGATATTTCGGCACGCTCGGGTTAAATTCATTCTACAAAATGAATAATAAATGTACATATAGGTACTAATTATATTTATGAACCAAAAAAGGACAATACTTTATCTGATTCAGATCTAATTCAAATTTTCGTATATTTCAATTATAACAGTTTGTTTCTTATGTTTAATTTTTATTATTCGACTGCTAGATCTCATAACTAAGAGATCCAGGATGAACAGAGTTGCCCCAATTGTCAGCAGGAGCGAGACAGTACTATTTCGACCCACCAGGTCTCATCAGCCGCTCTCGGTCTGCTGACAACTGGGACAACTCTACGCTTCGGGTATATCATCACCCACCGAGAGCGGCTGATAAGACCTGGTGGGTCGAAACAGTACTGTCTCGCTCCTGCTGACAATTGGGGCAACTCTGTTCATCCTGGATCTCTCAGTTATGAGATCTAGCAGTTGAATAGGTGGTGGAAAAATTCCACTCAAGTATGTCAGCAGAGTGGTTTACTTGTAGTACCACTCTGTAGCGTATAGACGTAGGGGTCTGTACGTGTGACTATAGATGGCAGCGCCATGTCCTACCTTAGAGCTTTGCCACTAGATGGCTACAACATGACTATGTTATACCCTGCGTTTTATTATTCGTTTTGTATTTTTATTGTTCATTTTTACTATTCGTTCCTGTTTTTTATGTACTCAAATTTTATAAGTACCTATGTGACTGTATTTTGTGATATTTCTGAGTATTACTGAATTGAGAATTCAAAATATGATTGTTTTTGTATGATAATGTTTTTTTTTTGTTCACTAGAAGTACCTAAAATTATCCCTTCTTGGAATTCGTATTCGACTTTTCTGAGGTGTTGTAATAAGATAAAAGAGTTACTAAGTGTGGTATCACCCAATAGGCGAATGGCTTTTTTCTGGATTTCTGGATGGAATATAAGGGCATCAGCGTATGTTTGGGTGCTGAACCCAAGACATGAGAACAGTATTCTAAAACTTGCAGTATCTATGCTCTGTAGATCATGAGAAACTGTTGGGGTGTAAAGTAGATTTTCGGACGGAACAAGAATCCGAGTTTTTGTGAAGCAGCTTTTGCGATGGATCGGACATGATTTTCTCATGAGAGAGTATTGCTGATGGTAATACCGAGCATAGATATAGAGATTTCGGTGGAAATGTTGGTACCAGACATTGTTATATCAGGCATACTGAGTTCCGCCTTTCTAGAGAAAATACAGGCTTCAGTTCTGATGGGGAATTCAACTAGGTTGTTGGTTCCCCAGGCTGTAATTTCCGCAATATCTTCATCGTTGGCATGCCTTCGCCGAAAGTTCTTAGTTTCCTGGATAGAAATGTGAATTCTAGAAGAGAACGCAGTATCGAGAGTACTATCGTACTATCGAGCTATCGGATCCGCCAAATTAAACTTCCCACTTTTGAAGAAAAAATCATAATCTCCGACCCCGAAAATCCCCAGATACAAGTTTTGAATAGAATCGAATCATAATTACAAAACTCGTCCGCTATATTCGATCGGCCATCTTTAATTTCCAAATTGTGACGAAAGAATCACAATCTCTGACCCCAAAAACCCCCAGATACAAGTGAATGGAATCGTATCATAATCACGAAACTCTTGCGCCATATTGGACCCACCATCTTAAATTTCAAAATTTTAACGAAAGAATCAAAATTTTCGACTCTTAAAAACCCCAAATACCAATTTTGAATAGAATCGGACCATAATGACAAAAGTCGTGTGCCATATTGGATCCGCCATCTTGAATTTCCGAATTTTGACAAGAAAATCATAATTTCCGACCCCGAAAATCCCCAGATACCAATTTTGAATAAAATCTGATTACAAAACTCGTCCGCCATATTAGATCCGCCAGTTTAGGACCGATTCCCATACCAACCGAATACACAAAAAAAAAATTATACGAATCCGTCGAGCCGTTTCGGAGGAGTTTGGCCCCGTAACAGGGATAGTTATATTTTCTCCCAACTATATCTATGGAAGGGAGCTAATTTTACACAATTCACTAATGGAAAATCGAAAACTGGATTTCTAGCCTATGTAAATTAACAGTAAACGATATGAATTCCTAATATATTAAAAGCATCACCTCAAATATTGTTTGAAAATTTTATCCAAAATACCATGAGTGGAAACATCATGATAAAGTATTTTTTTAATATTGATCGCATTTTTTCATATATTTAATATGATTAACCCGCTACCTAGGGGTTATGATCGATAACAAATTGAACTTCAGGAAACACCTTCAATCAACAAAGAAGAAAGCCATTGCCAGAGCCAAACATTTTCGTGGATTGACATTCAAAAACAAAGGTATCAACATCAGGACAGCTACCTCAATTTACAAGACAATATGCCGACCCCTTATCGAATATGGATTCATTCTATTCAGCACCTGCAGGAAAACAGCATTGAGAAATTCAGAAGTAGCAGAAAGAAGTTGCCTAAGAATTATTACGAAAATTCGCCATCCGGACAATCCCTTACACAACCCTTCCAACACCTTACTCTATAATTCAACAAAAGTAGAACCCATCCTTCAACGTTTCCACCGACTCAGCAAGTCATTCGCAAAATCTACTCACAATATCCCGATCATAACCCCACAAATCATTTCCACCCCAGTAAACTTACGTAGAAAACGTAAATACCCAGAAACCACCATCTACCAAGGATTACTCCAGCTACAACAGGAAAACTAATGATTTTAATTGACTTATATAAATTGTTTTTTTTTTATCTATCTATAGTCTATTAGATTTATTTTATATATCTTGAAATGATCATGTATAAATTTGTGAATAGGCTGAAAGACTTCGGTCGATAGCCTTTTGGGTAATTCCCCAATAAAGATTTTTTCTCTCTCTCTCTCTCTAATATGATTAGGAGTTTTCGGAAACTTAATCGGGTTGATCGTATCCCTAACCTGAGTTGGATTACCTAAATCGAGTCGCACCTACCTCTGTTCGGAAACATGTTGCTAACTCGATCACTGACTTGGGTTGATTTTTCGTGACCCGACTCAAAAGCAGGGTCGCCAGAGTCGCAAAGGACACCGCATGCGCATTACCAATTCAAACAAAATTTATGTCAATCGAAAAACGCGGGAGTTTATCACTAAATACCACTTCAATGTTATCATAGAATATTTGAGTAATTGGCTTTTTCCCTCGTTTTTTATTTGATTTGATTTAGTTATGCATAGAGAAGAGAATATGGGTAGTTCACACTAGAGTCCCTGTATATACCTTAGACAAGAGTCCGGACACAACTATACTTCTGTCCTTTTCTGTTTTCAAAAAATGCATTGATGATTGAATAAATGAATAAGACATATATATCCAGCTTTGTCTTTTTAATTCCCCTAGTATCAATGATTGTCAGAAACAATTTTGAGGGTTAGATTATTTGTCAAACCGTTCATAGCCGTAGGTAAATGTGAGAAATAGGGCTATTTTAATTAGAATAACTATCAAATCTTCAAATAATGAACAACATGAAAACTAGGACGTGGGTGGCATTTTCACCAGAATTTTTTGACGTTTCAAAACTAAAAATTTGGGAAGTTCCCATGCAATAGGCTTGCCTTAGAGTAATAGCCATTTCGTCAAAGCAAAGGCAGCAGTCTCTCTCAATGTCCGAGTAATTCTCTATTTTCATTTTCAAGTAATGGAGAGATTCTACCAATATTCCTGGATTGAAAGCAATGTTCTGATTGTAGGAAATGGAAATTATAATTTCAACAAGTGTTTATATCCAGTGGTACCACAATAAAATTTGATAGCAAGTGCTTTATTAATTGTGTCGGTTCCCACCTCTTCCTGTAGTCTACATACGCCTGTAAATTTTGAATTTGATCTGAATTAAAAACACCGTGGACTGATGACATAGGACATTGCAATTTCTCTAAATCTTCTAGTTTTGATTTCAAACTTTCAATTCCTTTCCGCATCATCTCATTCTCATTTTCTTTCTCTGCGATCGTATCATTCAGTAATTCCTAATACGGTGACGACGAAACTCTTTTCTTGAATGTCTCTATTTTATAAATTGACGGCACAGCAGACTCTTTCAATTTGAAATCCATCAGCTTGAAAGAATATCTATCAAAATGGGCCTGACATTCATCTGTTCTTTACTGTTTTCACAAGTAAATTTGAATATTTACCTCACATATCGCGGATTTATTGAAATTATTTTTCCATCTAGACGTTTCATTGCATTCTCTCATGATATTATCTTTAAAAGGATCATTCTAATGAATTATCGCAATAATGTACGCAGCAGGACATTGAAATAATTTAAAATGCTAAATTTTGGCGGTCATAGAATTTCAAAGTGACAGTGACAGAAATTCGAAATAATTAAAAAAAGTGGGCGGGACAACTATGGTGTTTTGTCACATTATCAGGTGTGCAAACCAAATGAAAGAAAATATTAAAAACCCCAACGGCTGTCAGGTTTGTGACTCTTGTCTAAGGTATATAATAATAATAATA